ATTGTAGAATCCAATCAGAAGTTATTTTAGAGACCTTAGAGACTGCTTCGTGCAGTCGCCTACGTCACAACTTAAAAATTATTAAATTAGTTAATAAGCTTGGCATCTCATTCTTATAATAAGAATCTATAAGAAATCGTAATATTTTGTGGCATTTTTCCTCTAAAACACATCAATATTAATTGACGATGCGATATACGATGAAGAACTATCAAACTTAAATGACCTAGTTGTCATAAAATATTGTATTTTATTCTGATTTATGGAGACCGAAAAGAACTGTAGGACATTCGAGATAATTACTTAGTTGCTGCTAGTATTTTTTGTAAATCAGAGGTTTAGTTAGGATACTATTTAGTGGTGCTGGCTCTTTTCTCTGCGCTGTGGAGGTAAGTGCTTTAATTGTTAATTGCTACACAGACTGTCGTTGACAATTAGCTCGTTTGCTTTACTAATGGACCTGTTTTACATAAGATACTGCGATTCAAGGTGCAAGATGCATACCAAGTCGAAGAAATGGGGCGAAGCTGGATCCTTTGATTCCGTGATTTATTATACAGAATAGTGAAGCTTTGTTGCCTTTGTTCAGGAGACCGTTTAGTATTATAGCAAACAACAGAATAGGTATTCATAGATCCTAATCCTAAGCAAAGTAAACGGTTAGGTATAAATTAAAATAATTTATGGACGCTTAGATTGCAAAAATCCTATTCTTTATTATTAGAGATAGACATTAGGAAACTAGGCATTGTGTGACTGGAAAACGGTATTATGAATGAAACCGAGTTTGACATTTTTAATGTATCATCAACAGAGTTACTTTAGTTCACAGATAAGCTTCTCCATATGCATAAGTATGCTAACTAAAAATGCAGTCTAAACTGACACTCAATTAGAAAAAAATACTTGTACTCAAATAGTGTTTTTAATTCAAGGCATCACTTCTAAAGAATGCTGTTCAGACCTTTCATTAATTTCATCCAGTTTATGATACGTCAATCCGTGCGTACATTAATATGTGCGTAATATTATAAACCCACTACACACGTAGCAGACTAAACTAGCACGAGTTACATTATTCTAAAACGATGGAACTATAGACTCAATAATAGAACACGAGATCCGCAGGAATATGATTGAGTTAATTATACGATCCTCCCTGAGGAATTCCCTCAATTGAACCGAGTAGATGTTCAACCTGAATTGATAGAACAGGTCGATCGGGTTCCCTTCTAATATTGTATATTGATGATGTACTAACTAGGCGAACGAAATTACGTTCAACGATATAGAAAACCTTCGTTTTCAAAGCAATTTGGATCTCAATATAAAAGATGTTTTGTACCTTACCGAGCAAAGTATTATTAAATGTAGAGTTAATACCTATTTGTACAATTTTGATGGGTAATAAATATTGGGCTCGATTTGAAGTTGTATAGTTAATTTAATTATCTGCAGGATAACAAGGATGCCGGCCGCTACCTACCAACCGGGCGATGTGGAAGTCATTGGGGAAGGCCTATGTTCAGCAGTGGACGTCCTGTGGCTGAAATGATGGTGATGAGGATGAATTAATTATCTCTCCTAGTGTCCGAAAAATATTTTGAAAAGTAACTCGAAAACTCACATTTGGCCAGTTAACCATGTGATGTATAAAGATTAAATACATTATTTTCTGTTAATCATAGACTGGGTAACAACTTAATGGCTCCCTTAATATCTCTCTTCGTCACTGTTGCATAAATTGAGTAAATGTCAACGTAAGAGAAGCCATTGAAAGCCCGCAATACCCGGGCAAAGTGGGCTAAACAGCAGAATCGTTGCAAATTTGAACGTATCTGCGCTTTAATTGTAGGCGGAAATGGGTCTCATATCCGCACGCGGTGACGCTCGCCGGAGTTTTGACTTTTATACCACCGCTTGCTAAACTTTTGGACTACGTTATCCCTTTATTTAAAATAGGCATCGCTGGGGAAAGTGCAAAATTCCTGTAACAAATTATTTCTTAGTACCTATGATTAATTCCGTTTATACCATCTATTTATAGGTAGGTACTGGCCAATTTTCTTTGCCAACACTAAATAAATTATAATTATTCACTAAGTTTCATCAAATCGACCTTGAAGTCTAATTAATTGAGATGAAGTACCTACAATAACAACATACCATTAGTATAAAATGAAAAAACTTTATAAAGAACATCGCATAGAATTATTGCTATAAATAAAGTCGTTAATGGATGAGCAAGCGAAATTTTCACAAAAGATAGGACGAAACCATTTTGTGAAAGAATGATCTAACTAACAGCATAGCAATTATACTAAAAAAAAACAGCTCGGGAAGAAAAATGAGGGTCATAAAGGTAACATCATGCAATCTGGTTTTTGTTTGCTTAATGTGTGTTGGTGCTTTCATATTGATCTCGTCTGTTACTGTTTTTCTCATTGTTTACAGCGGGAAAATGCGCAAGAAAACTTTGACGTACCTATATTGAAAGTAACATAATAAACTCGTACCTAGGTACCTAACACTCAAGATTTGTGTGACACTGATATTAAGCGTTCCAACCTACTTATTTTTGTGGATTGAGGTAAAATTACCTAGGTATTATGTTATGCACTAAAATAAACACTGTGGCAGCTTATTTAATGGTAATAGGTGTTATTTTGCGATAGCCGTAAAAATGTCGTTTTATTCAACTGTAGTTCGCCGAACCCTTTTCCGAATCATTTTCTAAGCAGCTAGTGCAGCTGAGTCTATTCTTGCATATTCGATTCTTCTGCCGATCCTCAGGGGTCCACAACAGTTTGGGAAGCTTTGTTTAATTTTTGCCGTATCATCTCATAACGATATGTTTACCCATGTTCTTCCGATATAAGGGATCGAGGTCGGGTTCACATATTACGCTTATCAGCGTATGATTTGCCCCTTATTAATATAATAATAGTTAATTAAATAAAGACAAAAACGTTTAATATCCTGCCCTTTTTAAAGTGCCGTGGGAAAAAACAAGAGCTTCCGCATTGACCGTCATTTTGTGTAACATGGAAACGCTTTCAGTAACGAGGATGTTAAAAAAAGTATGTACTCATGTACCGTTTAATGAAGAAACAATACCCACTGGCTACTGGCTGCCCCATTTTGGTTAAAACCAAGTATGCAGGTACCTAGCTACGAGAACAATAATATAATGCCGTTGCCGTACCTTCTTGTAGATTTTCTTTCAAATATATCCTGAAGAGTATTCGGAAATACTGAGTAAATATTCTTGCACGAAGTGTCGTAGCTAAGTGAACGAATACGTTTTCGAACGAATACGTGGGCGAGAGGCTTTTCGCCCAGGGATTCACTCTCAAAGGGCTTGTACGATCCTCCCTTGAGTGCTGACCTGAGTGAGACTAAACCTTAGGGTAAAAGAACAGTGAACATCAATTGAAACTATAAATAAAACTCAGTTCCGCAAGAAGTGGTGTACTCTATTTTTTGTATTTTGCCCGTGGCCGTTTTTCGATGGTGGCAACCTCTAAAGAAGTATATAATCGTATGTACCATATATACTACAAGTTTGAGAGAGGTCGTAAGGCTAAGTACCTAACAAAATGTTAAATCTAGCAAATGTTGTGTTTTTCCCAACACACAATTTTCAATGAATCACAGTATCAGGAAAATAATTCAAATAATTGCACTACATTTGCCTGAATTGGTTAGCCGTGCTCACGAACTCAAGTTATTAAATTATAACACACGTCTGGTACCTTCTGGTTATTTCTTATGTAATACGACACATCTGAGTTTATACCTGCAATTATTGCAACAGTCAAAAGTATACTGAAACCTATTCACTCTCTAGATAATCTTGGGCTAGTCGGTTCATCGAGTATTAAGGTGGCGTGTCGCACGCTACGTTTGTCAGACGTGATATCCATTCAGGAGCCCAGTGAGACTATGACTATTTCTCAATTTTGACGTTCGTTTGACGAAAATTGACGTTCATAAGTGCCACTTTGACGTTCATAAGTGCCACTTGTGGTCTAAACTGAATAAATATTTTTGATTTTGATTTTGATTTCATAATGGAATAATTCACCCAACAACAGTCTCCTCATCGAGGGCGGTGACGAGCGAGTTAGTGCAGCGGGTGTTGGTGTAGTCGATGAAAATTTAATCTAGCGAGTATGGCAACTGCACTGCTAACGCCAATCAGTCGGCTGTCAGTACTACTCAGTCTTTAGTTAGCATGTACAATATCAGTAGGTACATCAGACCGAGTGCGGCAGCTGCTCGGCCGACTTAGCAACCCTGCTGTTAGTGGCTACACTATAGTATCAGTATAACTCNGTTAGACTCTTGAAAGGACATCATCCATTTTGGTCCAAAATCAAAAGTGCCGGCCAAAAAATAAAAGTGCTGTATTCTGATAGAATACGTCCGCCTTATACAGCACTTTTTTTTGTTGGCCGGCACTTTTGATTTTGGACCAAAAATATATGAAACGTGGATGATGTCCTTTGACATGCAGGTACCTTAGTAAACTTAAAGCTTAGTTACAACAGGATATTGCAAAATTCCCACGGGAACGGGAGTTAGCGGGAAAAAACATTTGTATGAAAAAATCTAAACCGCGTAAGATAGATGAAGGGGGTAAAACGGATCCACGCGTACGAAGTCGCGGGCGGCCGCTAGTACATTAAATAAAAAAGAAGGATGAAGGTATTTAAAAAAAAGTCTACTCAATGTCGTCAACACGGTGTTAATTATACAAAAACTCCTATGTGAAAGGCCCACATCATCCATGAGTGCACACGCACACTACAATAATGCCGCTCGGATTGCTCGGATCAAACTCCCCGCACCCCGCGCGACCGGGACCAAAAATTGGTGTTCTTCGTGGATGAAACGATCTAAGACCATTGAAGTAATATTACTACGTAGTACATTATAACTCAATGTCTAAGACTTAGGATTTTGGAACCCACACACAAAATCTCGTTGTCCTCAGGTACCACTTCGAGCTGGACTCGCAAGGACTGTGGATAGACTCGCCCATGCTGCCCGAGCTGCTGACCTTGCAGGAGAAGGTGGCTCCGGTGCAGCAAACACCTGCTGATAAGAAGAGTAAGTGCTTTTTAAAAGAATATTTTTTCCCATTCGCCCCCACTGGGGCAAGTGGGAAATTTTATTCCCATTGGCCCCTACCGGGGGCAAGTGGGAAATTATATATGTAGAATTAAAAAAAAATCTTACGCCCGTATTCACAAACGATTCTTGCTTAAGTGAAGCAGCAAATCGAACGCACAGCGTTGAATAGAGCTCTGCGATTGGTTCGTGGGTGACCCGCATCCACGCGCACTGTGAGCCTTCATAGAAATGGTTGTTGTGAATACGGGCGTAAATCTCAGTTGCTCCCATCTTTACCAGGGTTGATTTACTGGGGACGACTAGGAATTTATTACGAAAATGACCAGCCTCCTTCAACAAATTGTGAAAACTCATGAAAAGCAGTTTGATAGTTTTTAAGTATCGCGTTCACAGAGATAGTTTTAGTGATCTAGTCTTTTATTACTGATCTTCATAAGCAGGGGAGGAAACTGGGACCTTTTTGAAAATTATATCCCAACGGCCTCTAGTGGATGTTACGCTGGTGGGGCAACTGGGAATATAAAAAGTAGTGTCAAGGGACAGTTGATATTATAAAGGTAGCAGAAAGGCGCCAGATGCAGACTCTTCCCTACTGGTCAATGTGGAAAGTCCTTTGTTCAGGAAAAATGATGATCATGATGAAAAAATATTCAAAAGAATTAATTTTTTTTTGTCGAGTCTAGGACATAGGAAGCCTGGGAGAAGCCTTGGTGAACAATATTATTATGTTTTTATGTTTGTTAAATATAAAACTCCATCAGTCAAGCAATAAATACTGTTCTTTTCAAAATGCATACATCCTACTAATCCTACTAATATTATAAATGCCAAAGTTTGGATGTCTGGATGTCCGGATGTCTGGATGTTTGTTACTCTTTCACGCAAAAACTACCGATCGGATTTTTTTAAACTTTACAGTATTATTGTTTGTAACCCATATTAACATTAGGCTATAGCTATAAACTATTTTATGCCGATCTGTGACACTAAATTTCACGCGGGTGAAGCCGCGGGCAAAAGCTAGTACATAATACGTTATGATTTGAGGAACACAAGCTGTATTATAAAAATAGGCATAAATATACGTTAAATATGAGAACTAGGTCTATCATGCAATGCCATATTATATTATGCAATAATGCACTTGGTACAAAACTAATAAGTTGCTCAATACTTAATAGTGCTTTGAATAGGTAGGTATATCGATACTCGTGAAAACTATATAAAGTAATTTAATTATGTATCGAAAGTTTTCTTAATTATAGTATTGATTAAGCTATTGGTATTATTCGTAAACATGAACTGCAATTATGACAATGATATCTCAAAAACAACTACTTGATATGTTTGTTGAGAAGTAATCAAAAAAAGCTCATAAAGTTCATTTAATTTTGCAAGTAGGCTTTTAAAAAGCACTGTTACACGTCCCAGTGTTAACCCTACCACTGCTTCGGGACAATAAATGGGCCAGTGTATTACTGAGATGTCATTAGAAGACGCAAAAAATAAAATATTTTTTAAATAAAACAACTTGAAAAAATCGAACTGCCTCAAGCATAGTTTGAGAAGCGACTCTAATCGCTAAGAAATTTTAATGAAATAATTTATTGTATAACAAAAAGTATCGTTACATTTCAGTCGCAATCAATATTTAACTACCGTCACTCCCCCAACACTATAACTTTTTTTTTACCCAACTGCGTCAAAGACAGTTATGTTTTTGAGGGTAGTAACCTAGAGTTCTCGTTACAGACCCGGCGTCCGGAGGGTACCAGAACCTATTCGAAAAGTTCATTGAAGAAAAACCAAAAGGTACCCACCATTCCCACTGTTGGGCAAAAGCCTACTTAGCATGCTTGCAATACGAATAAGTATATGAATTATATCAATATAATATGTATCATATACACCAAATTCTATGCAACTTAATTTTTTGTACCTTTTTCAAGTAGAACAATATTTTTTAATCAATATTTGTGTTGGCAAAAAAGTGACTTCATAGCTTGTCGATTGACTGGTGGTGGCAACTACCCTACCCTATTATAATACCGTATAAAATATTTGTATATGTATACATATACCGTATAGTAGGTATACGTTAAATACACGTGCATATTATGTGATATACCTAGAAAATAAACTCGAATTTTTTTGCTTGACTTATGGTAGCTTTACAATAGAATGCTGTTGTTATATTGTTAAATAAATGAAATAAAATATATATACATCACATCGACGACATATAACTATAATTATAACAAAAATTGTTATAATAAATTAACAAACCTTTTTATTTTTACAAAGTACCATCCTAGACTGCATCTCACTTAACACCAGGTGCGATTGCGGTCAAATACCTGCCTTGTCTTGCATTTTATGTTGTAGGGAGTCTTACAAGTCTTATTAATATTTTTATACCGTGTATATTTAGTTAAAAGCCGGTCTCTGAGCACGTAGAATTTTGTCCAATGACCCCAAGCTACCCATCCTTATCGCTCGCGCGTAATTATGTCGCTGTCGCGCTCGCACACTCACTGCGGGCGCCCGTCGCACAGTCGCGACAGCAATATAACTACGCGCGAGCGATAAGGATGGGTAGCTAGGGGTCATTGGACAAAATTCTAAGTGCTCACGGACCGGGCTTTAATATAATATGTATATTGTTCACAGTGCTGGATATAATACGGATGGACCACAACTACTCCGTGGACCCGCCAAAGCACGAACCCGAGAATGTGTCGCGTCTCAACGTGAGGCAGTTGGTCGACACGCTCGGATATCTGTAAGTTTATCTGCTAGATATTTTTTTTACTATCGCTTTTTACCCGACTGCGCTAGAAGGAGGGTTATAAATCATCGCTATATTGAATTAATATAGGTATAACATATCAAAAGATCGACCAGTAAAATATCTTAACCTATCTTTCTCCAGTAAAGTTATCGCCATTTGTAACGAAAAAAACAGAATAAATACTTAACAGTTGGTACCTCTTGTCCACCCACAAGGTGGACCGACGACCTGACAGTGGACGTCCTGTGGCTGAAATGATGATGATGATGGTACCTCGGATTAATAAACGGCACGTTAAAGAACGCGCCTGTTCTTCTGATTAATTTCGTTGCGGGTCCAATGACAGTTTAACTTTCCCCCGGGACAAACTTGACCTTCACTGGTTGGGTTATTGGCGGTCAAGCTGTAGATCTTGGCTACACAGGAGTTGCAGCGGTAGGAACGGGAGGTGGGAATAGTCCCGTTCCTTTGAACTCCCTGAAGAACGTTCAGCCTTAAAGTGCAACATACAAATGAAAAACATTTTTATTTCTAATCATAGTAGTGATGTTACGGTCAAAGTGATAAATGTGAAAATTATGAATAATCGCCGGTTATTATGAATAATTACCGCATGATTTGGTTAATGTGATTAATATGAGGTCATTTATGTGTGTATAAAACTAAATAGGCGGCTTAGGGGTGGCCCAAGGGCCCCCCCCCGCCGCACCTTAACCTATTTTTCACTTTAAATCACAACATTATGTTATAGGCATAATGGAAAAGTAATATTATGCAAGAAACATTCCAAACTCATTATGCCAAATTATATTAATATATGATATCAAAACGTTCAAAAGTTTGGCTGTACACGAGCACGTACACAAGATGTTGTTCGCTTTTAAGAAATTTGTTAGTACTAAGGTTGAATTATTAAATAATCACTGTTAAATGTGATTAATTTATCACTTTTACCGCGACTGTCGGTAATTATTCATAATAACCGGTTATTATTAATAATTTTCAATTTATCACATTAACCGTAACAGTGATACAAAAATCTATTTATCTATGCGAGGCGAGGCGTTTACGTTACGGTGCGGATAAGTTTGCGTTGCAGTACGGAGTTTCGTACAAAGAATACCGACCATTTCGAGTTGATACGGTTACGATCCGTTTCATCATCATCATCATCTCAGCCATAGGACGTCCACTGCTGAACATAGGCCTCCCCCAATGCTTTCCATGTTACCCGATTGGTAGCGTCCAGCGCTTTCCTGCTACCTTTATGATGTCGTCGGTCCACCTTGTACGATCCGTTTGCGGGTTGGTAAATGTGATTTGTACTTAAATGACTTGATGATGAAATGCTTTCCTTCCAGGTCCCTCAAGAACCTGCAACGCAAGCAGCTGTGGGTAGTTAAAGTGGAGTCCGACAAGAGCGAAGCTTCCATCACCCAGGCGGAACAGGTCATCACCAAGATGCAGGATCCTAAGCAGATTATAGAGGTAAATATAGATGTCCCTACTTATTAACTTTGTAAACCCCGTAGAAGTCGTGAGAGGCGAATAAGGGACAAATATGCGAACATCTGGCCTCCGAAACTCGAAATGAATAATGCACCCCCTTTACACCCTTTATACTACTGCTCAAATACAACAACTTTTCTCAAGAAAAAAATGGTTAACGGCCGAATACTGAAACGCCATTTAAATATTTGACGGCTTCTCAAATAGTTAAGCAGCTCCTAAACTTACATTTCGCATACTCAAAACAATATCTGAGCAGTTCTCAATTTTTAAGCACCTCTCAAATTAAGTTGCACTCAAACGCCACTTAAATGAATTTTCGCATACTGAAACGCCATTCAACGCTAAGCATTACTCAAACAACTGTCAAATCGTCTTAAGCAGCTGTTAAATTTGAGAGTGCTTGCGCGGTATCTTAAATCCTATTCTTATACCTAAATCGACCTAAATAGTGGTAAATAATGTGTGTCATCGTTATCATTTCTTTCGAGCCTCGAGGAAATACCTAGATCTAATCGCAGGAACGCAATAAGGCTGAACGCTATTGAAAAATATTATTATAATGACATGCAATTCCGAGCGAGGTTCCGCGTCCCTAAAGAAACGGTGTTGTTTCTGGATTCATAATTTGGAAGCTCTTTGAAACCCCTCACCAAATGCCATACAACCAGTGGACCAAATACTTATTATAACCCTACTGTTCTACGCAACGGGAAGTTATGAACGTGTACTAGGTGATATCTTCCAAATCTAACAGCCAACTGTGCATCGTATAGTGCACGAAGTAACAACCAAAATAGCTGCTATGAAATCGCTTTACATAAACATGCCTATTTCTGAGGATTAAGGGGACATCGCATAGCAGCATTTCCAAGAGTTGTTGATTTGTCAATTTGATGCTCTGTCAGTCAACAATGATAAATGTCAATTGTGGTTACGTTTCGGTCCACGATCGCCACTTAATAGATTTCAACAATAAAAAGTATCACCCTTAAAATTATTTTTTTAATTAAATAAAAATGCAAGCATTAATTTTTTTATATGATAAAACGAGATTTATAAATAATAGAAACTAAAAATAAACTGTTCTATGTTAAGTTGATTGAGTATATTTCCATAAAAGACAATACATAACCAAACGATGCTGCGTGTAATGGATAAAAGACGTAAAGTTATCATTTGTGTAAATGAAAACATACTTTTTTTGGTAAATGTTGCCATTATGTATACATTTGAGAGCTGCTTAGCTGATCACGGCTTCAAATCCGTTGAGTAGCGTTTGAGAATACCATTTAAAATTGAAGGATACTTAAATTTAGGAGCCCGTCAGCTGAGTGACAGATTTGAGTAGTGTTTCAGTATTCGGCCGTAAATCTTCCAAAAAAGGGGACCCTTTTCATATAAACTGTCACAAATAAATGAGCCATTATTTTAGTATGCGGAGATTTTTGCATAATTATTGATCCACTGCGCATAATTATTGATACAGGGTTAAAGTACTAAAAATCGTATTTTATTATTCTTCCAGATAGTCCCCCAAACGTCCACATCGCCAGCCGGTGGCAGCGAAGTCCTCCAAGTGATGGAAGACGGAACCATCTCCGACAACTTCATATACGAGATAGCTCAGGAACAGGAGATCAGCATGGAGGAGGTTTCCGAGATCCCCGCCGCAGAGCACAGGTCGGTGATAGCAGGGCGATGATACCCAAATTGCAGGTGATACCCGAATGGCAGGCTGTTGATACTCCAATAGCAGCACGATCCCCGCCTGGCGGACGATCCCTGGCTGGCAGGATGATCTACGTCTAGCAGGAGGATCCCCGCCTGGCAGGACTATCCCCGTCTAGCAGGACGATCCCCGCTTGGCAGGATGTCATGGAGGACGGAACCATCTCCGACAACTTCATATACGAGATAGCTCAGGAGCAGGAGATCAGCATGGAGCAGGTTTCCGAGATCCCCGCCGCAGAGCACAGGTAATACCTAGCTGGACGATCCCCGCCTGGCAGGACGATCCCCGCCTAGCAGCACGATCCCCGCCTGGCAGCATGATCCCCGCCTAGCAGAGTGGTGATACCCTCCTAGCAGGATGATCCCCGCCTAGCAGAGTGGTGATACCCTCCTAGCAGGATGATCCCCGCCTGGCAGCACGACCCCCGCCTAGCAGAGTGGTGATACCCATGTAGTAGGTTGGTGATACCCTCCTAGCAGCACGATCCCCGCCTGGCAGCACGATCCCCGCCTAGCAGGCTGTTGATAGCCACCTTGCAGGTGATACCTAAACAGCAGATTGGTGATACCCTCCTAGCAGGACGATCCCCGCCTGGCAGCACGATCCCCGTCTAGCAGGATGTCATGGAGGTCGGAACCATCTCCAGTCCCCGCCTGGCAGGACGGTCCCCGCCTAGCGGGATGATCCCCGTCTAGCAGAGTGGTGATACCCACCTAGTAGGTTTGTGATACCTGCTTAGCAGGGTGGCGATATCCAAATAGCAGGTGATACCCGCTTTGTCAGTAATAAATACTGCGGCTGTTGATACCCGCTTAATATGTTGACGATCCCCATCTAACAGGCTATTACCTACCTAGCAAGTAGGTGATTTTAAGATCTTAACTTAATTTTTCGGATAAGTCACTTGACATGTTTTGACATAGACTTAAAATTAAGTTATAGATGACCCACGCTGAACTGTCCCACCAAACTCAATGACAGGGGGGCGCTACCATCGTTCAACTATATGGTTTCCAACATGGCAAAAATCGGAACCAGCGATCCGGTATTGACGGTGGCGCCCCACTGTCACTGTCATGGATAGGACAGTTCAGTATTTTGGAACTATATCTACTTAACTTCTTAATACGTGTAAATCAATCTTTACTTTCGTGATGATCCTTATAAACAAATAAATAATTCTATCTTCAGAGAGTGGATGGTCAACATCATCCCTGAAGAAACCAAGCCTAAGTACGCGTTCATCAAGCACTGCAACTCCGGCAAGAAGAAGCGCCATTTCACGGCCGATATGAACGAGATTACGCTGCCTGGTGAGTGCGGTAAGCGATTCGAATCCCGGTGGGGACAGATATGACCATTAGGCCTTGAATGCGCGCCACGATAAACTTTTAATTTGGCACGATAAGCCCTACGTCGTCTAAAATCGTCAATAAGATTTTATCACTTGCATCTTTTAGCCGTAAAAAATAAAATAAATTCCACTGGGTCCCTGTGGAATTTATATTATTTTATTTTTTATTTTAGGAATTACAAACAATTAGACTTACTTTTCGTGAAACGTAGGCCACGTTTTGACTCTTGTTTATGAGGGGCAAAGATGTTAGGGTTAGTTAGAATTATACTTTTAAGCTACAAAAATACTTAAATTGGTTAGTTCGGTTCATTTCATAACACATTTATTTAGTTCTTCATTAAAAAATCATTTTAATTGATTAGGGAATGAGAAAAAAAATTTAAAATGATAACTAGTTTTAGTTCTTTCAAAGGCGTACGGCGGTTGTTCTAAATAAAATAGTTGACACAACTGTGATATCAAAAAAAGAAGAAGAAATTGCATTTATTATTACAACTAAAAGATACTTCTGTCACGGTAGATAGTATTACCGTGCTTCTGTGCACACAAACTTTTAACATAGTTTGTTATTATACCTATACACAGAACAGTATATTAATTGATGTTCCTTCTCTTCAACAGGCAATTTCGAGAACTACTACATACTACCGGACGTCGACCCATCCGTAGGCGTCGAGATCACGACCAGCTACGAGCCAGAAAACTACATTGTGGAGGAATACCAGCACTTAGTTCTTGAGGAACAACCTAGGAAGCGGACCAAGGAGACCCCGGAATCCAGCAAGAAGAAGAAAAAACGCTTCTCAGCTGTCCGAGAACAAGTGAAACAGATCCAGATGAGAACGGATGAGGAAGACTGGGTGATTGAGAATAATGTGGTCTACGAGCAAGAAGGTGAGGAATATGACACACCGAAGAAAGCTCCTCGGGTGAGACGGAAAAATAAAAAGTTCCTCGGCTATGATTTTGTCACTTAAACGTGGATTGTTTGGGGGTAATGTGGGCTGGCACTTCGTAGATCACAGTTTTAGAGAAATAGCAGGATTTTGATGATTTAAGATTTCACACATAAAATTTCTAATTGTGTTGAGTAGTCACTTTTGATGATACAGTTTAACCAAACTGTGTTCGTGTGGTAACTTAAAAACACATTTGATATCGTTTATAGTTGTCTTCACTCGCCAATTTTGCGTCCACTAGGCGACAAATCAAATCATTAAAGGATGTAGCTCATTTATTAACCCAGAAAGGGATCGTAACCGTATCAACTCGAGCCGGTCAGTATTCTTTATATGAAACTCCATACTGCAACGCACACTTATCCGCACCGTAACGTAAACGCCTCGCGATTGACAGCTCGCGAAAGGTGATACTGTGTTGATCCCTTTCCGAGTTGATAAGTCTGCTAAAACCAGCTTGTTTTTTGGGAATCAATTTCTTAAATTATCATGTTTTGTTTATTTCTACAAAAGATCTCTGGAAGTTGATTTAGAAGTGCCAAAGAGGTGGTTTTCATATTTTACCAATATAATAATGGATTTACGGTATCATTTTTAAGTTAAATTAGTTATTTAATCTCAATTATGGTTATTTTATTATTATGCTTCCAAAAAATATGAATTTGTGGTCATGACTAATAGCTTTTTTTGCAATATTTCATTTGGATTGAAAGAGAGAGACAGATCGATGAATGTGTCAATGTATTATCTTTTTCTGTGACAATTGTACGGTTTTTAATATCTTTAACAGCATTTTTAGTTGGTCAGATGCCGTCTCTTTCATTCTATAGATGTAAAAAAGAGATAAAATTAATGTTAGTTTAACATACACTACAGAATCACTAAATTCCTATTTCTAGTCCACTGGGAATCGCATTATGGCTTTTTGCAATACTTTTAACCTTTTAAAGGCTTATTCTCATATTGCCACCACATTTTTTACCTTATCCCATTGTGTTAAGGTCCAAATTCAATGAAAATTACTTTCTGCGCCAGCTAAAGGGTTAAGCTCACGTTACTCTCTAAGGCTTAAGGATTGTATATTTTTTCGTTTTTTTTCACGTCGGTACGAGGTTGCGTTTGAAATGATATAGATAAATATAGTTTGTTTTCTATTAATTAATAGTTTGGCATGTATGTATAGTTCGCGCAAAGATAATTGAGGCCATCGACACAAGGAAAGATTTATCTGTATACGCTGTCTTAGGTAGTCGCACTGACAAGTTTCTGTCTCGCTTGCAGACATTTAGCAGAGCGAGATAGCTAGTGTATTCGATATTTGAATGTGTTCTGTATTCAAATATTACATCAGTGTGAGTGCGTGTTTGCCTCAACTCTCGTTGCGCGAGCTATATCGTATGAATGTTGTACAGACGTACTTCAATATCTTTAGTTTATGATTTTAGAGGTCTGGGATTATTTGTAGCCCCAAAGCAATCCTTAGTTAGACAATGTGACAGTTGTAATTTCGAGATCGCTTCGCACCGGCGTTTTTTGTATGTATTTACGCTGTGTGAAGCGATTTCGGTATTAACCGTCAGTTGTCACTAATGTAACGTTTTCCAGGCACAGTGTAGTCGTTAAAATTTGCAACTTGACCTATGTGCTGGGGGAAGTACATTCAATATTCTAGAATTCTTGGTACATTTATGTATCGGCTAAATGTAGACTCAACCTACGAATTTTCAAAATGGATTTTTACTTCAACGACAACTCTTCAATGAAGTCTATTCTTATTGCTCTTACCAGTTGTCGCCACTGTAGAATATAATTACGCGCGAGCGATAAGGATGGGTAGCTTGGGGTCAATGGACAAAATTCTACGTGCTCGCAGACCAGACTATTGATTCAAATCATCCCAGACCCATGTAGTCTAATGATATTATCATTGAACATGCACTTACAATTAAGTTTGATATATTTTGGTGTTGAAATATACCTATTGTATAATTATAAATCGGAACGACTCAATTATTGGTCGCTTCTTAACATAGAGCTAATGTTTGTCTGCGAGGGAGTAATCAATGTTAAATAAAAACGCCTTTTATTCTAAATGCTTGTTTTATTTAGTATAAATACAGGGTGGAAACGATAAGTGATCTCACTCGATTATTTCTAAACTATACAAGATATCCAAAAACTGCTTACTGATCCTAAAAGTGCTTCATGAGCTCTATCCAACGGTACCAATAATAGGTTACATAATAAATTGGATCTATCTGAAAATTCAATGTTTCCAGCCTCCATACATTTAGTAAAACCTCATAATATTAAAAACTATACAAGATATCAAAAAACTGGTAACTGATCCTGAAAGTGCTTCACGAGCTCTATCCAATGGTACCAATAATAAGTTATAAAATAAACTGGATCTATTCGAAAATTCAATGTTTTCAGCTTCCATACATTTAATACTGCCACAATCATAGCACTCATGTCTTGATAATATTATAGCAAGTAAAGCCTAAATCCAATGTTTTCCGTGAATAATTTTAAATAAGAATGCAATTCACGAATTAATTTTAAGTGTTTATTATTTAAAATAAAAAAATTAACACTTCTAATATTGTGTGGCTGGCATAGTGGCATACATCTAGTATGGAGGTTGAAAACATTGAATTTTCGGATAGATCCAGTTAATTCTGTAACCTATTACTGATATCGTTTGAAAGAGCTCGTAAAGCACTTTCAGAATCAGTAATCAGTTTTTCGATATCTTGTATAATTTAGAAATAATCGAGTGAGAACACTTAACGTTTCCACCCTGTATATCTGAGGTATGGGAGCGTCACGGGAGGGGTGACGTGACGTAATAACATATAACGTGACAGAGCATACAAGACGGAAGCATATATGAAGTCTATCTGACGTGTGACGTCACTAAAACACCCTCCCATGCGGCTCCTATAGCTCAGCCACTGACCCTAAACCTATAGTTAACGACTTAAATCTATAGTTAACGACTTTAACCTATAGTTAACGACACCCGTGATATTCCAGTAAAATATAATAATCCTCCCAAACCAAACCTTCCCGTGCGGTCCGCCCCGGGTGCCAAGCATCAGGGGGTGACACAAGTCGCGCAGATTAGTACTCACTGGCGCATCTGCATGGCAAATCTGCGGTCTATGTCATGATACGGGGGGTGCTATTGTCTTTCAATCTTCGAATCGGTTGGTAACCCCAAAATCCTGGGGGGTGCCGGTGTGATCGCCCCGGGTGCCAACCCATGCTACGCCGCCACTGTTCCAACGAACGTGAGGCTACTAAGGGGCTGAATATGCGAACATCAGCCGTCCCTAACCCGTCTGGCCAGTGAGGAGTGTAGGACTAAGCCTTTGGTAAATAAGCCATTTAGTTGATGCTAATGCCATCAATTAAGAAAAAAATCAATTCTATGACGTCATTCACTTTACATTCTTAATATTTAAATGACATTTATCATCATCATTTCAGCCTTATGACGTCCACTGCTGAACACAGGCCTCCCCCAATGCTTTGCACGTTGATCGATTGGTAGCGGCCTGCGTCCAAAGCTTCCCCGCTACCTTTAGGATTAATTTAAATGACATTATCGTTGTCTAATGAAAAACATAGAAATTACGCGTTCTTTCCAGATAAATAAAATAAATATCCTTTTACATAATTTAAACATACACTATCCTATCTAGTCCCAAAGTTTGAGAATTTGTGTAATTATGTTGCTGTCGCGCTCGCACACTAACTGCGGGCGCCCGTCGCACAGTCGCGACAGCAATATAATTACGCGCGAGCGATAAGGATGGGTAGCTTGGGGTCATTGGACGGGATTCTACGTGCTCGCGGACCAGGCTTTATCTAGTCCCAAAGTTTGTGTATTGCAGAGCACCTAAGAGTACTTATTATTATTCCGTGATTGAAGTTTGATAATAAAAGACAAATTAATTCTTACATTAATTTATTTACAATAATATTTACACCATTCAGCTTATTTACTATGGATTAAAATACATTTATAAAATCATGTTCTCTGAAATTTATTTTTTTAGACACATCATTATTATCATCATCTACGACTAAAGATAAAATCGTTGATGTTAAGTGAAAATAAATCGAGTTTTGAGTTTCGTTCTGTAAGACACTGACGACGTTTATAAGTACCCTGAAAAGGCTACATACTCGTACTAATAAAAAATTGAATTTGACAATATATTTGTTGTGATTTTGAAATTCATTAAAAAACGCGGGTAGCCTTAAATTGTAATGAGGATCATTTCGATTTTTAGCTGTGAATGCAGATTTATAGGGCTAAGAAATCCTTAATACACAGTGCAAAAATTTTTGTTCTACGACAAAAATTGACGAAGTTATGGCCAAATTACTAAAAAAGTTCACTGACCGCCCGGCGCGGGGACGATGACGTCATTATATCCGATCCGAACGCTGCCGGCGTACTGCGTGGATAGAAAATATTGTATTCTAGCCAAATTATCAGTTTTAGAGAAAAACTTGTAATGACATTTATTCATCAGAATAAAGTAAGCTATCGATAGGTAATTTTTAAAAATGGAAATTGTGAAAAATAACGCAAAAAATCCATACGCTCATACGATTCAATGGCACGCAGAGACGCGATTGGGGTCTCCGCGGTGGTATATTTGGCGATTTATTCAAATAAAGTGTACATAAGTGTTGTTAGAGTCATATCTTCTTCCAAGTAAAATAGCCAGAAGCTGGGTAAGGCTTGCCCCTCCCCCCAGGCTATAAGTTGGGTATGACTTATCCCCCCCCCCCAGGCCAGAAACTGGGTATTAGCATCATATTAAGTATTATTATGTTCAATACAAACAATCATTAGTTACACTCACCCCAACCGCGTCTCCGCATTGCATCGAATCCTATGAAAATGTGGTTTTTGGACATAGCAATAATTATTTTTCACAATTTTTATTTTTAAAAATTACTGGTCGATAGGTTACTTTATTTTGAAGAATAAATGTTATTAAAAGTTTTTTTCTAAAACTGATAGTTTAGCCGGAAAAAAATATTTTCCATCCCATTAGTACGCCGGCTGCGCTCGATTCGGATATAATGACGTCACGCGGCCTTGCGTACGTTGACTTTTAGCGGCAAAAACGGCCTATGTTTATTACTTAATATCTTCGTAAGTAATGGTCCGATTTGGATAATTCAAAAAGATATATCTTTCTTATGTCTTAAAGATTAACGTAGATACTAGTTTTATTGAATTTTCTACAACAGTACTGATCCTCATTCTTAAAAAAAATGTGGGTAGAATTAAAACTAATAATCCGCAGCCGTGTTCGCCAGGTAGTCCCTGCGACCGATGTTGGACGCTTGCTTGTTCTGCACTGCCTCCAGTTTTGGACATTCTGGGAAAGAAAACTCGTGTAAGTACAGTTTTAGTTATTAAGTAAATAATAAATATCCTTGGACATTTTACACTACGCTTCTAGTCCCAAATTGCGGTGAAATACCTGCCTTGTCTAGCATAAAAAAAAGCAAAGCTTGTACAATGGGTACTAGACAACGGATATAAACATACTTAAATACTTTTTTTTGTAAATCTAAATATATAAAAGGAGAAACTGACTGACTGACTGACAGATCAACGCACAGCCTAAACGGCTAAACGTAGGCACTTGAAATTTGGAAGGGACGTAGTTTAGGTACCGTACAGGTGCACTAAGAAAGGAATTCCCGAAATCCCCACGGGAACGGGAATTAGCGGAAAAATCCTTTTGTATGAAAAATCTAAACCGCTTAAGTTTGATGCTTGAAATTTGGTGTGCAGGTACCTTAGTAAATTTAAAGCTTAGGTACAACAGGATATCGTAAAATTCCCACGGGAACGGGAGTTAGCGGGAAAAAACTTATGTATGAAAAAATCTAAACTGCGTAAGATACACGCTTGAAATTTGGCATGCAGGTACCTTAGTAAACTTAAAGCTTAGTTACAACAGGATATTGCAAAATTCCTACGGGAACGGGAGTTAACCGCTAAAGAAAGATGAAGGGGGTAAAACGGGATCCACGCGTACGAAGTCGCGGGCGGCCGCTAACTTCTATATAATATCTATCTATATAAATAAAAATGAATTGATGTTCGTTAGTCTGATTATAACTCGAGAACGACTGGGCCGATTGAGCTGATTTTGGTTTTAAAATGTTTGTCGTAGTCCAGGTCTAAACGATGAGTAAATACGCGCGCGATATTGTTTTTCTGTGACAGACAAAATTCCACGCGGGCGAAGCCGCGGGCGGAAAGCTAGTACATACATATTATACATAGTAACACCGAGACCTGACAGAAATTAAAATTAATCATTTCAATTTCTGCCCGGGCGGAAATTGAACCCGGGACCTCTCGGCATAGTAGTCCGTTCCGAAACCACTACACCAAACGGCCGACATATTGTAGTAGGGCTAAAATTGTCTTTTTAGAAAAAAAAACTGACTACCTATTTAAGTGGACTATTTTATTTTATTTTTATTTTACAATCTATTGTGAGTGTTTCATGTCATGGTACCTACATACCTGTTTCTTCTGATTAATTTCGTTGCGGATCCAATGCCAGTTTTACTTTCCTTGGGACAAATTTGACCTTCACTGGTTGGGTTATTGGCGGTCAAGCTGTAGATCCTGGCTACACAGGAGTTGCAGCGGTGGGAACGAGAGATGGTCCCGTATATTGACGTACCTGTGATCCTATGTCCGAGACCGCCACAGTATGAGCAGCCCTGGCCGTCAGCCGCCGGCACGTCTGGTTCGCCGATCATGTCCAACAGGAACGAGGGTACCTGCACAATTTATACCAGTTTAGGGCCTGTGCACACGTTTATTAAGTGGTACAGTCAGCGCCAATAGTTTGTGACAACACAACCTTAGTAAGTAGGTAACTAAAGAGGTGTTGCGAACTTTTTGACTACTTTGGGTGTCACGAAATATTTTATGCTGATTACTAGTTAGTTAAGCCCCCTGAATAAACATATACAGGGTGGAATTTTGTAATGCCACCTGGAGGGAAAGTACTCTTAATACTGTAGATAGAAAATTTTACTGAAAGAAAACATTCCTTTATTTTTGAAAAGAAAGAGAACTGCATTTAAAGATTTTAAGAAAATTCTCTACCATACCATACAACTTCCTGTACATAATAAAAATAATTTAAGATTTCATGGTTTTCCTTTCATTTGATTTATCAAGTTTGTTAGAGAGATTTCATCCTTATACTTAACCCTAGCGATCGATGCAATAAAATACAGATTTTGGTTGGTTCGAATCTCGGGTGTAGCAAGCAAATTTTTGGAAATCTTTGAATGCAGTTCTTTTTCTTTTCAAATATAAAGGAATGTTTTCTTTGAGAAAAAATTTCTATGCTATCGATATTGTACGCTTTACATACTTTCTGTCTAGCCTCTCTTAGCAAATGCGCCAAATCTCTCAGTACGCTGGTATCCGCCGCTCGGCCCAACAAAGTGGTAGCTACTCCTTCCCCGCCCGCGCGGCCCGTGCGTCCAATTCTATGCACGTAGTTCTCTATGTCTTCCGGCATGTCGTAGTTGATACTTACGATCGATACGGTAACTATTGCTATTAGGCCTAACGATAGTGTCGATGCTATTTAATTTAGACACTCGATGTCGATAAGTGTCTAGACTATCGATATCGATGAGTCCCTAGTATCGATAACGATAAGCGTCTTTAGTATCGATATCGATAAGTGTCTCCAGTATCGATATCGATAAGTGTCTCCAGTATCGATAAGTCTCTAGTATTGATATCGATAAGTCTCTAGAATCGATATCTACAAGTGTCCGTCTCTAATATCGATGTGTCTAGTACCGATATCGATAAGTATCTGTAGCACCTATAGTCCTTTGGACATCCTGTTAGTCCCTCTATCGACTATCTCACCTTCTGCCTCGCCTTTCTCAACAATTATCGACTTTGTCCTTTCTCTCCTATCGATAGTAAACTCTATTCCACCTACCTTCTGTCTAGCCTCTCTTAGCAAATGCGCCAAATCTCTCAGTACGCTGGTATCGGCCGCTCTGCCCAATAGAGTGGTGGCGACGCCTTCCCCGCCCGCGCGGCCCGTACGTCCAATTCTATGCACGTAGTTTTCTATGTCTTCCGGCATGTCGTAGTTAATTACGTGTTGGATATTCGCGAAGTCCAGACCTAGAGAGATAATACAAAATACAAACAACCCTATCATATTATTTAAAATAATCCCAGATTTTATCTTCTTAGTACCTACTTGCCAAATAGTTATATGTGTTGAAATCCAAATGTAAGCAATATGGCAAAATAATGAGACATGTAATATCAATTGACAGCAAGTACAGATTTAATCAATCCAGACAAATGAATTCATTTTTGATTTGATTTTTGTTCGTCCGATTTCAATTTTATCAAAATCGGTTTAGTACTTTTGTCATTCAGGTTAACATTTTTTTTCAGTGGCTATGTGTCATTAAAATCAAATTAAAATCTAGTAGGGAAATCGATAATTACACTCGTATATTTACTTACAAAATTAACGGTATTATTCTGCATTTAGGTGGCACACTATTTAAAAACACATGTCGTAGTAAACAAACTCTCCATTTATTTATTTAAAAGCAATGTTTTAAAAGAAGCCAAAATTTAATTTTTAAAAACGAAGGGTGGGTTTAATTCCCACTTTAGGTTATTCGATTTTATCACGCTACTAGCGGCCGCCCGCAACTTCGTACGCGTGGACCCTGTTTTACCCCCTTAGGGGTTTAATTTTGCAAAATCCCTTCTTAGTGAGCACCTAAGTTTTAAAACGAACCCCCATGCTAAATTTGAGGCTCCAAGCACTTGTACTTTCTGAGATTTCGTGAGAAGTGAGTGAGTGAGTCAGTGACCTTTCGCTTTCATAAATATAGATTTTAGACACTTTTCAACCGACTTCAAAAAAAGGAGGAGGTTCTCAATTCAACCCGTATGTTTTTTTTTTATATGTTTGTTACGTGATAACTCCGCCAATTATGAACCGATTTGAACAAATCTTTTTTCGGCGTATAGGTAATACCTCAAGGGTGGTCCCATTTAAATTTAATAATAAAAAAAACAACCCCCAATGGTGGAAAATTGGGGATGAACTTTTTTATACGCAATATCTCCGCCGATTATGAACCAATTTGAACGATTATTTTTTTGTTGAATAGGTATTATCAAAAGTTTTTAGTTTTTTTTTTGTGTTCACGCATTTGAAGTCGGTTTTTTTTTAAGTTATTCTGACGCTACGACCACAAAAATTTATCTTACAAAGTTTTTAAAAGCATTATTTACCCGACTGCGCCAAAATGAGGGTTATTTAAAAGAAGCTTACCCTTGCTAGCGACGTCGGTAGCCACAAGAACGTCTTTCTCCCCGCGCCGGAAGGCTTCCACGGCGCGGGAGCGCTCCTCCTGGTCTTTTCCTCCGTGGATGGCCACGGCTTCCACTCCTGGGAAAAAGAACGGTAGATGATGTGCTAGCACAGAATAATAATAAGTACTACGTACAGAAGTTTTACTTCGCGAAGGTATTTAAAAAAATGTATGCTCAATGTCATTAACAGTATGGTGTAATTTAGCCTGTCTCAAGAGTCAAGCACCATTTTGTTGACAAACGTCAGTGATCGGCACTGCGCCGAAGCTATAGGGCTGACTTCGGTAAAATGATGTAACGTGAGGTGCCAAACTGCGGAAAATGGCGGAGGAAATACATGATTTAGCATGAATTATCATGAATAATATTAACTAATTATTTACCTCTCAGTGTCTTGAGGCAACTTAAAAAAGTACATTCTGTGTTTTTATTATTATTTAGGCAGTTAAATACTGCACAGTATTTAGTACACCATTTTCTTTATTTTCATCCATCATACCTACACAAGAATACGCGTGCGTGAGTCAATGTTCGCTCGTATGTGAGGCCTTGTCGAATAGTATCCTGTAGGTGGGCCATCGTGCGTGTTTTGTTTTCGATGTAAACTCGCGGAGATGAACAGGCCTGGTGCTAGTACTTTGTGTAGGAGGTTTCGCTTGCGTGGTCTGTCACGGAAAATCATTATTTTAAAGTTATATTATGTATGATATTTTGAGTTAAAGAAGGAAAAGTATTTATTCGATGCAAGTACACAACAAGATAATAATTACAACTAAACAACAGAACTTTAAATGACTTTATCATGTCAAAAATTATGGTGTGTTTTGTATTTTCCTAGTGGGTCGCCTAATGGTACATCATAAGGGAAGTTATTGGGATGGTATACGTTAGTATATTGTCTACTTCCAACAAAAAAACCGGCCAAGTGCGTGTCGGACTCACGCACAAAGCGTTCCGTACCGTTGATTTATGATTTTTTTTTAATTTAAGTTATTTGTATGAAAGATTACGCGGTAAAAAGCAGTTTACGATTTACGAGGTATTAAAAAAAAACTACTTACTAGATATCGTTCAAAACAATTTTCGTTGGTAGTTTTTATAGTAATGTACATCATAATATGTCTTTTTTAGATTTTTCATTTTTTTATTTTAGAAGTTAGAGCAACTTTTTTCCACTTTGGAAGCGTCTGTCACGCAAACTATTCGGTTTAGAAAAAAAGTATTTTAGAAACCTCGATATGGGGTAGCCCCCAATATTTTTTATTATTTTTTTATTTTTGCATCAAAATCCTAATGCGGTTCACAGAATACATCTACTTACCAAGTTTCAACAGTATAGCTCTTATAGTTTCGGAAAAAATGGCTGTGACATACGGACGGACAGACGGACGGACGGACGGACGGACAGACAGACAGACATGACGAATCTATAAGGGTACCGTTTTTTGCCATTTGGCTACGGAACCCTAAAAACAGGACGTAGTGTCTTCTTAGAGAGATGATGACGATGCGTTGCGTTGTCGCAGCGGTGCCGCTCCGTAGGTCTATACATACATTATACAGGGTGGAATTTTGTGATACTACCTGGAGGGAAAGTACCCTTATGCCCGTTTTCACCATTAATCCCTAATTTGTAAGTGACCCCTATGAAAACAAAATGCCTGTTATGTGATACCATAGGGGTCATTTAAAAATGAGGGAATAATGGTGAAAACGGGCATTAGTCTCCTAATACTGTAGATATAAATACTCAAAGAAAATTACTTTATTTTTGAAAAGAAAGAGTGCATTCAAAGATTTCCCAATTTTTTTTCGAAAATTCACCTCTCATAAAGAAATAATATATCGTATTGTAGATTGGGGGTAAGGGGCAGTTATAACCAACCTTTGAGCAGCAAATACTCGTGTATAGCATCGACATCTTGCTTCCGTTCAGCGAACACTAAAACTGGCGGCGGTGTTTTCTGCAAGCATGCTAGCAAGTGCACCGTGCGCGCTTCCGCCTGTAAAAAAAGCAAAAAGTCTATACATCTGTGTTTCTCAAACATTTGTGTTATGTTTATTTAATGGATAATTAATTTATTAAAAAAATATATGACAAAGTCGCTTTCCTGTCTGTCTATCCCTATGTATATTTAGATCTTTAAGCTACGCAATGGATTTTGATGCGGTTATTTTAATAGATCGTGAATTAAGGGGAAGATTTTTAAGTATAATACATACCTATGCGAAGCACTAGTACATTCTAGTACATCCTACTAATATTATAAATGCGAAAGTTTGTATGGATGTCTGGATGTCAACATGTTTGTTACACTTTCACGCAAAAACTACTGAACGGATTTTAATAAAACTTTGCAGTATTATAGTTTATAACCCAGAGTAACATATAGACTATAATTTATGACGATCTGTGACAAACTAAATTTCACGCGGGTGACACCGCGCGAAAAGCTAGTTCTGTATATTATGTCACCGTAAAATTGTGAATTCTGTCAGATTATAATCTGACGTAGTGAAATTACAATCTAACCTAACCCACTGTTAGTTTACAATCTAACGCGTTATATTATAAACTGACAGAGATCACTATTTCACGTTGACATACACATCACAATGAGAATAAACAAGCTTACCTTGACCGGCTCCAACTCTTGACGTACGTTAAGAGACGCGGCTCCCGCGCGGCCCACGTTGACTGTTACAGGTTTTACCAGGGCTGACCTGGCGAGAGGGAAAGAGAGATGATATAGGTCATAAGGCATAATGCCCGTCTTCACCATCGATCCCTAATTTTAAGTGACCCACATGAAAACAAACTCCTGTTACGTGTTACCATAGGGGTCACTTAAAATTAGGATTGAAGGTGAAAACGCGCATAGGTCTATTAGTGGGCGGAGAATATAGCTCGTCGAATAGCTGTTGGATTAGGAAAGTTCTCGAGTGGCAACTATTGGAAAACATAGTATAGGCAGGTCTCTTTATCAGTGGACCGACGACCTAAAGATTGCTGGAAGTATCTAGATTCGGACAGCTCAGGACCGGTTGTTGTGGAAATCCTTAGGGCAGGTCTTTGTCTAGCAATGGATGTCCCACCTCTCGTTCTCATCGCTGCAACTGTGTCCAGGATCTACAGCTTGACCACTCATCCCAGCGGTATGTCTACCTGGCGAAGTTTTGTATCGTCTGGACCGGTGGCTGTGAAGATTTTTGGAGGTCTTCGTCTAGCAATGGATGTCCCAAGGCCTGTCCCAGCAGTGGCGAAATTCTATCTTTCTGGGCTGAGAATCAACATTGTGGGGATCTTTGTCCAGCAACTGACGTCTCAACCCTCGTCCCAGCGGTGGCCTACCTGAGTAGTGACTGAGTGTCTTGCTATATTGTGCGTGACTTGGAAAGCTAGATTGTGTCCTTGGCGAGCTATATTCTACTTCCCTGGCGAGCTATACTGTGCGACCTTAGCGAGTTATATTGACTATCCTGGCGAGCTAAACTGTGCGTCTTTAGTGAGCTATATTAGGTCGACCAGGCGAGCTATATTAGGTCAACCTGGCGAGCTAGATTGTGCGTCCCTGGCGATCTATATTGTGTGTAACTAGCGAGCTATATTCTGTATCCCTGGCGAGCTATATTCTGCTTCCTTGGCGAGCTATATTCTGCGTCTCTGGCGAGCTATATTCTGCTTCCCTGGCGAGCTATATTCTGCTTCCCTGGCGAGCTATATTCTGCGTCTCTGGCGAGCTATATTCTGCGTCTCTGGCGAGCTATATTCTGCTTCCCTGGCGAGCTATATTCTGCTTCCCTGTCGAGCTATATTCTGATTCACTGGCGAGCTATATTCTGCTTCCCTGGCGAGCTATATTCTGCTTCCCTGGCGAGCTATATTCTGCTTCCCTGGCGAGCTATATTCTGCTTCCCTGGCGAGCTATATTCTGCTTCCCTGTCGAGCTATATTCTGATTCACTGGCGAGCTATATTCTGCTTCCCTGGCGAGCTATATTCTGCTTCCCTGGCGAGCTATATTCTGCTTCCATTGCGAGCTATATTCTGCGTCTCTGGCGAGCTATATTCTGCTTCCCTGGCGAGCTATATTCTGCTTCCCTGTCGAGCTATATTCTGATTCACTGGCGAGCTATATTCTGCTTCCCTGGCGAGCTATATTCTGCTTCCCTGGCGAGCTACATTCTGCATCCTTGGGGAGCCACATAGCTCGCCCTAGCGGTGGACCTACCTGGCGAAGATCTATTTTCTTGGACCAGTGGCTGTAAACATCCTTAGGGAAGGTATTTGTTCATCTATGGACGTCCTAGCAGTGGGCGAAGTTCTGTATCTTCCGGGGCCGGTGGCTGTGAAGATCCTAGGCTGTAAAGGTCATTATGCAGCAATGGACATCCCAACGCTCGTCCCTTTATGTATCTTCCTGGACAACATCTGGACTACTGGCTCTAAAGATCCTTGGGGAAGGTCTTTGTCTAGCAATGTGTGTCCCAACGTTAGTCCCAGTCCCAGCGGTGTCCTACCTGGCGAAGTTCTGTATCTTCCTGGACTAGTGGCTCTAAAGATCTTTGGAGAAGGTCTTTGTCCAGCAATGGACGTCCCAGCGTTGGGCCAACCTGGCGAAGTTCTGTATCTTCCTAGGCGACATATGGACCGGTGGCTGTGAAGATCCTTGGAGGAAGTCTTTGTCTAACTATAGAAGTCTTTTGGTGAGCTATATTGGATGAACTGGTGAGCTATATCGGGCGTATCTAGCGAGCTACATTGGGCGTCTCTGGCGAGCTACATTGGGCGTCTCTGGCGCCCTACATTGGACATAGCTGGCGAGCTATATTCTGCTTCCCTGGCGAGCTATATTCTGCTTCCCTGGCAAGCCATACTGTGCGTTCCTGGCATTGGGTTTACCTGTTGAGCTTAATCTGTTTTCCTGGACCGGTAGCTGTAAAGATCCTTGGGAAAGGTCTTAGGTGTCCCAACGTAGTCCCAGCGGTGGCCTACCTAGCGAAGTTCTGTATCTTCCGCGGCATGGTGGCGCTGAAGAGCAGCGTCTGCCGCTGGCCCGCGAAGTAAGAGAAGATTGTTCGCACGTCCTCCTCGAAGCCCATGTCGATCATGCGGTCGGCTTCGTCCATGCACAAGTAGCGGCATACGTTAAGACGCACCTAGAATATAAATATAATAATAATAATAAGCATTTCGATCATGGACGTACCCTAGGGGGGAAGTCGCTTTGAAGGTACTATACCCTGGTCTTGGTCACGTTAAATTTTGTCCAATGACCCCAAGCTACCTATCCTTATCGCTCGCGCGTAATTATATTGCTGTCGCGACTGTGCGACGGGCTCCTGCAGTGAGTGTGCGAGCGCGACAGCAAATTAACTGACATAAAATAACTGACTTGACCCCCCTAGGCCAGAAGCTGAATATGACTTGCATTTGCCTCAGGAACACCTGCAGTGAAATGAAAGCTAAGACGGTAAGAAGCCCATATCGATCATGCTGTCCGCCTCGCCCATGTACAAGTACCTCGTCCATGCACACGTTGAGACGGACCTGGATATCATCAAAAAATCATATTGTAACATCCCGTATATTATAGTAGTCCTTCGAGCCGGATAAGTCTCCACTGAGGGGAAACGACTTTTTAGTCAAAAAGTCAAAACATTTGTGTTCTTTTCTGTGTTAAATTTATTCATGTGACTTAATATAAGCGTAACAAAGGATTGATCGAATGTCGACCACGGGCCAGAAGACGTAGACAGGCTTCCTACTAGGTAGACCGATCTATTAAAGGTAGCGGGAAACACCTGGATGCAAACAACTCAGGACCGGTCGTTGTAGAAATCGTTGGGGGAGAAATTTGTCCAGCAGTGGACGTCATTTGGCTGAAAACGAAAGAACTGACGAGCAGCCGGTAAGGCCCGGTGTCCACCAAGACGGAGAAATGTTTTGAACAACCAATCAGATGTAATTCAGATTGAAATAAATCTGATTATTCAAAACCAGGGTTCGAAAATATCCGATATTTATATCATAAGGATATTTTCGAACCCTGTTCAAAACATTTCTCCCCTCCGCTTCGCCTTAGTGGAAACCAGGCGTAAGTATTGCAATATGTAACGTATTTATATTATGATGTATCATGAGTAATTGTTGTGCTTAGTAGCGCTCTCCTTGTCTCGGTGTCCACGGAAGACCAGCGTCGTGGCATTATTTACTGAGATACTACGACACCATGCTGAGTGGATACCTTTTCAGTATCATTGTAATTATAGTTCATTCAACTTATGATGGTGATTTAGACAGATAAAACGTTTCGTTTTATGATTCTAACTTTCTACGAATAAAAATATTGAGTTGTAAAAATCAATTACTTTTGTGTGTTTTCATCCTTCCAAAATATCAATCACCAATCTTTCTCAATTAACCTAAACAAGAATTTCTATTTATTTATTAGTTTATTATTTAGAAAAAATTGTGAAAAAATATTAAATGAATTGCTTCTGCATTAGTCAGAACTTTTGCTCATAGGGATGGGACATAAACAATCGCAATAAATCAGTAATCGGCATGGTGGTCATCTTACCATCGAATCACGATTATTATCTCAGGCAGGTCAAAGCTAAGTCAGTACGTGTGCGTTTGCCTTCGATGACGGTTTTGTTTTATGCGATTTCTCCACGTATTGTTTGTTATTGTTATTTTGATGTTTCATTGAATAAAATGCATATATTTAATTCTTTGTGATTTATTTTGTACCACTAAGAATATTCACGTTTATTCCATTTCCAGATAGTTCAAATTCATAGATATAATTTTGATCGAGATTAAAAATCAAACAAATAAAAGGCGATTAGATTTCTATAGAAAATATTCTCGATTCTAAAAAATATCGATTAGGTTTATAAGGAGCGCCTCACTAAATAGAACTGTCATAATCACCATCTTACGCTGAATGGATGGACTATACCTACTCATTAAATAATTTTAAGTAAGTGTATTGTCGATGATACTGAATAATCATTTTTTCTTTCTTTCACTCACCATTTTCTTGTCCAGCATGTCCATAAGCCTGCCTGGCGTGGCCACCATGATGTGAACGCCTCGCTGGACTACCTCCATACACTCGGACACCGCCACCCCTGCACAAAGGATTCGAATTAAGAAGTTTTCTGATTATGTGTTTAAACACTGAGCGAACATTTTAGATTTACACTAATGAAGTTTCTTTAGAAGTAATTTAAACCTCAAGGCCGCTGCAGCCTCTTCCGACCGGTCGCCCGACCAGGTATACAGGGTGGAAACGTTAAGTGATCTCACTCGATTATTTCTAAACTATTCAAGATATTGAAAAACTCGTTACTGATCCTGAAAGTGCTTTATGAGCTCTTTCAAACGGTACCAATAATAGGTTACAGAATAAACTGGATCTATCTGAAAATTCAATGTTTCCAGCTTCCATACTAAATGTATGCCAGACACATAATATTAGAAGTGTATTTTTTTTTCATTGAATAATAAACTCTTAAAATAAACTCTCGTCTTCTGCGTATGGTACAGCCGAACTCTTTAATAAATTACTAGCCCCTTCTTTAGGGGTAGTGGAGTTGGCTCACCTCGCAGAGGCCAGAAACGCTTGGACTAGGGCATGCCCGGGAGCCGATCCACCTACCTCTCTATCGTCTCAGAGGCAGTGGGACGAGCCGCTCTGCTTGCGTTTTCAGAGTGATCTATTGGCTTCCTCCGAAAATGCTGCAGAGCGTGCTCGCCTACTAGCGGTCTTTCAGGCAGAGTCCGGTTATTGGCTACATGCTCTTCCTTCGGCCAATATCGGGACTCTGCTTGACAGGAGTACACTGTCCCTTGCCATTTCCCTTAGACTTGGCGTCAAGACAAACCATCCCCATCGCTGTCGTTGCGGTACTCGCGTCGGTGAGTTAGGACACCATGGCCTCTCATGCCAAATGAGCGCTGGTCGAGTCTCCCGACACGCCTGCATCAATGACGTCATCCGCAGAGCTCTTGTCGCCGTCAATGTGCCAGCAGTTTTAGAGCCTAACGGCATACTCCGTGACGACGGCAAGAGACCTGACGGCATGACGCTCATTCCCTGGAAGCAGGGACGTCCTCTTGTGTGGGACGCAACATGCGCGGATACGCTTGCTCCGTCTCATACAGGAGGTACCTCCCTTGCCGCAGGCGCGGCGGCGGCCTCGGCTGAGTGCTCCAAGCGGCGCAAATATGCAGCTCTCAATGAGAGTTATATATTTGTGCCGTTTGGGGTTGAGACTATGGGACCATGGGGTCCAAGCGCTCGTTCCTTTTATAAGGAACTGGCAAAGAGGCTCACCGAGGTGACCGGTGATCAAAAGGCTGGCAGCTATTTTGGTCAGAGAATTAGCCTGGCCATTCAACGTGGCAATGCTGCCAGCCTTTTGGGCACGATTCCTGACTGCGGCGCTGGGGGTGAAGTATTTTTTATTTTGTAAATAGTTTTTATCATTAGTAATTTTTTAATTTTAGTTTTTAGTCATTTTAAGTTAATGTAATATTATAAAATTTATTCTCTAATAAATAAATAATTAAACTCGTAAATTGTATTCTTTTTTAAAACTATTCATGGAAAACATTGGTTTTAGGCTTTACTTGCTATAATATTGTCAAGAGATGAGTGTCATGACTGTGGTAGTACTAAATGTATGGAAGAAGGAAACATTGAATTTTTTGATAGATCCAGTTTATTCTGTAACCTAATATTGATACCATTGGATAGAGCTTGTGAAGCACTTTTAGAATCAGTAATCAGTTTTACGATATCATGTGTAGTTTTTAAAATAATGTGACTTTACCAAATGTATGGAAGCTGGAAACATTGAATTTTCGGATAGATCCAGTTTATTCTGTAACATATTATTAATACCGTTTGATAGAGCTCATGAAGCACTTTCAGGATCAGTAACTAGTTTTTTGATATCTTGTATAGTTTAGAAATAATCGAGTGAGATCACTTATCGTTTCCACCCTGTATACCGCCACTCGGTCATGCATCGTGCGGTCCACACAACTTTGACCGCAGTCTGTGGAGGAACACTAAATGTGGTCGCGATCCTAGGTGAGGAACCAAGGTCAAAGAAGAACCTCCTGTTATGGAGACTATAATAATACTCCCAAGCTGCTTTCGGCTACGGTAACTATCACAAAGTTCCTTTAGTCCGCAATAAGAGGGCTACGCTGGGCTGCCCTATCAAGTGATCTAACATGGCTATAGTGACCAATCTTGTTGGTAAACGTGCGTGAACAATGTCGACACGTAAGAACACCGCCGATGTAGTTGTAAATGTTAGCCGCTGGTGGTCTGGCCTTGAGAGCATCGCGCTTCAAATCCAGATCAGATTTCCGCTGCTCTTCGAAATCGTTAACTTTTTTCTGCACCAGGCGCCTCCACTCCAGACGTGGACGTCCCAAAGTGGAGACTAAATGACGATGATGATGACGTTGTAACTTACCTCCTATAGCTAAGCAGGAGCGTATCTCAGGGCCGCCGGCTATCTTGATATGCTTGATGAAGTGCTGGACGATGTCGTGCGTCTGCTTGGCCAGCTCGCGCGACGGACAGATGATCAGGCCGTAGGGGCCTTCGTTTCTGAAAACAATATAATACAAGTTGTTTTTTTGACAAAATACATGTTTCAAATGGCACACGAAAGCAGCAGACATAAAAAGTACAGAGTAAATATCATAAGTCGTTTATGAAATCCATTTAAAAATTGAGGAATCCTATTCCATTCTGAAAGAAACACACAACATTCTAGCTGAAATCGAGATGCAAAAAGATAAGCCATGTAACATGGAGTAGCTGTCTCAGATCCTTTAGAGAGAAGAGCGTTCGCTGTAGCCATTAAAATTCCACACGCCCGGCCATCCTAAAACTAACGCTGCTGCTTCTAAATGGTAGCTTCTAATAAGGCTAAAGCATTTATGGCATCCATAGGGGAGGAGTGGAAGTTATCCTGTTCCACTCTTGCTGGATTCAACTCCTCGTCACGCTGCTGTAGTATCTGACGAAAGCCATCTTGATCGCCTGCTCCAAACTAAACATGATGATACTTCTTCCACGTAAAGAGTGAGGGTAGTCTTAATCCGCTCTGCTGGAACCACACAGATAGCTATAGTACCTGACGAAGGACATCTTTTGCTGGAATCACGCAGCTAAAACCACCTTCTCTTTTCCTCACATCTCTTACAGTATCTCCTCTCCCCCTCACCTGACGAAGGGCATCTCCTGCTCCTCCAGAGCACTTGTAGTGACGAGTGACTGAAGATCCTGATGCTATACGAAAAGGGACCTTGGGGGAACCACACACGGTCCAGAGCACTCGCAGTGAAGAGCGACTGAATATCTTTAGGCCAGGCGAAAAGAGACTTTGGGAATAACTACACAGCGTCCAGAGCACTAATAGTGAAGAGCGACTGAAGATCCTGAGGCTAGACGAATAGAGACCTTGGGACAACCGCCACGGTCCGAGTCATTGAAGATACTTGAGGAGGCTTGATGTTCAGATGTTTCTTCCTTAGTGATTTACGAAACGCTTAATAACTTAGGAGATACATGGGAAGAGTGAAGGTGGTCCTATTCTATGGACGAGCGAGACCACACTGAACGGCATCTAATCTTCTGTTCCAAGCAATTGTAAGCGAAAACGCGGGATTTCGGTGTCCCATTTAAGGAGTTGGCTGGACGCATCCAGGGTAAAATCCAAAAGTGGGACATCTGCCCTCCCTAGAAAAAGTTACTAAAGTGACAATCTTGGCTCTGAAATTGCTTCGTTCCGGTGTGTTTTTAGTTACTTCTCTCCAGCGAAGGTTTTCCTTATTCTGCTCTGCTGGAACCACACTGCTGGGAAGAGAGGGAGTCCTGTGGGAAGGAGTAGGTACCTGATGAAGGGCATACAGAGCACTCGTAGTGGAGGCGACTGAAGATCCTTAGGCCAGACGAAAAGAGACCTTGGGGGAACCACGCACGGTCCATAGCGCTCGTAGTGAAGAGCGACTGAAGATCCTGAGGCTAGACGAAAAGAGACCTTGGGACAACCAGAAACGGTCCGAGTCATTAAAGATACTTGAGGAAGCTTGATGTTCAGATGTTTTTTGCTTAGTCACTAACGAAGGCCTTAGTAGATGACTACGAGAAGACTGGGGGTGGTTCTTTTCTATTCTACTAGAACAAAACAGCATCCGTCCTTCTCGCGCAAAGCGAGATGCTACTAAGAGTAACAGAGATGGACAGTACCTTCTCTTCTGACACGGTATCTTTTCTTCACGCTGCTGAAAGTGCCAGATAAATGGACGTTGAACTCTTACTCCAAACAGAGTGGAAAGTGGTCTTTTTCCACTGAAATTTCAGTGGAATCACGCGCCTGTTGAAGGGGGTTTTGAGCTCTTACTCCAAGCACAGCACGGGAAGAATGGGGTGATCCTGTAGGAAGGCAGTAGGTACCTGACGAAGGGCATCTCCTGCTCCTGCTCCAGACAGAAGCAGACGAGCGGCAGCGCGAACACCAGCGTCTTCCCGGAGCCGGTGAAGGCGATGCCGATCATGTCGCGCCCGCCGAGCACGGCCGGGGTGCCACGCGAAAACGGACCTTAGGGGAACCATACAGGGTCTGAATCACTCGTGGTGTGGACTGACGGAAGATACTTAGGTCAGGCGAAAAGGGACCTTGCGGGAACCACACACGGTCCAGAGCGCTCGAAGTGACGAGCGACTGAAGATCCTTAGGCCAGCGAAAAGATACCTTGGGGGAACCATACAGGGTCTGAATCACTCGTGGTGTGGACTGACGGAAGATACTTAGGTCAGGCGAAAAGGGACCTTAGGAGAACCACATAAGGTTCAGAGCACTCGTAGTGAAGAGCGACTGAAGATCCTGAGGCTAGGCGAATAGAGACCTTGGGACAATCGCACACGGTCTGTACTCATGGTGTGGAACGACTAAAGATACTTGAAGGCCTGATGTTTATGTTTCCTTCTTAGTCACTAACGATATCTACGAGAAGATTGAAGGTGGACCTGTACTACTCAACTGGAATCACACTACTAAAGCAAAAAAGAGGGGTTTCGGCGTCCCATTCAAGGTGTTGGTTGAACCAATCCTGGAACAGCTAAAATGTGACATCCTGCCAAAAAGGGACATCCCGTCAAAAAAGGGACATCTGCTCCCTAAGTAACTAAGTTACTAAAATGACAGTTCTAGTTCCGAAATAGCTCGGTTCTCGGTTTTTAGGCTTCGGCATAGGCGTCTAGCTAGATTCCTTGGCTACACTACTAGTATTTGACGAAGAGTATATCCTGTAGTTATTATGACCTAGACACCGGCTGAGAAAGGATTTTCCAAAATTGACCACCTGAGGGGAAAAAAAGGCCCCAAAGACGACTCGAGCGAAGGCTGTGTAATAGTCCTATCTCTGTTCCTCTCCCAGCTTGCAGTATCTCCTCTCCTTTCCCCCAACTTTTCTTACCTGACGAAGGGCATCTCCTGCTCCTGCTCCAGACAGAAGCAGACGAGCGGCAGCGCGAACACCAACGTCTTCCCGGAGCCGGTGAAGGCGATGCCGATCATGTCGCGCCCGCTGAGCACGGCCGGGGTGCCACGCGAAAACGGACCTTGGGGGAACCATATACGGTCCAGAGCACTTGTGATGAAGAGCGAGTGAAGATCCTTAGGCCAGGCGAATAGAGACCTTGGGGGAACCATACAGGGTCTGAATCACTCGTGGTGTGGACTGACGGAAGATACTTAGGTCAGGCGAAAAGGGACCTTGGGGGAACCACGCACGGTCCAGAGCGCTCGTAGTGAAGAGCGACTGGAGATCCTGAGGCTAGGCGAAAAGAGACCTTGGGGGAACCACACACGGTCCGAGTCATTGAAGATACTTGAGGAGGCTTGATGTTCAGATGTTTTTTGCTAACGAAGGCCTTAGTAGATGACTACGAGAAGACTGGGGGTGGTTCTTTCTACTATGCCAGAACAAAACAGCATCCGTCCTTCTCGCGCAAAGCGAGATGCTACTAAGAGTAACAGAGATGGATAGTAACTTATCTTCTGACACGGTATGTTTTCTTCACGCTGCTGAAAGTGCCAGATAAATGGACGTTGAACTCTTGCTCCAAACAGAGTGGAAAGTGGTCTTTTTCCACTGAAATTTCAGTGGAATCACGCGCCTGTTGAGTGTAATTTTTATCTTTTGCTCCAAGCATAGCACAAGAAGAGTAGCTGGTCCTGTGTGGGGGAGGGAGGTGGGAATCACGTTCCTGAAGAAGAGCATCTCTTGCTGGATTACGCTGCTAATATCGTCTTCTCTTTTCCTCCCACGACTGACAGTATCTTCCCTCCTCTTCGCTTATCTTACCTGACGAAGGGCATCTCCTGCTCCTGCTCCAGACAGAAGCAGACGAGCGGCAGCGCGAACACCAGCGTCTTCCCGGAGCCGGTGAAGGCGATGCCGATCATGTCGCGCCCGCTGAGCACGGCCGGGGTGCCACGCGAAAACGGACCTTAGGGGAACTACATACGGTCCAGAGTAGTGAAGAGCGACTGAAGATCCTTAGGCCAGACGAAAAGAGACCTTGGGGGAACCACGCACGGTCCATAGCGCTCGTAGTGAATAGCGACTGAAGATCCTTAGGCCAGACGAAAAGAGACCTTGGGGGAACCACGCACGGTCCAGAGCACTCGTAGTGAAGAGCGACTGAAGATTCTGAGGCTAGACGAAAAGAGACCTTGGGACAACCGCCACGGTCCGAGTCATTGAAGATACTTGAGGAGGCTTGATGTTCAGATGTTTTTTGCTTAGTCACTAACGAAGGCCTTAGTAGATGACTACGAGAAGACTGGGGGTGGTTCTTTTCTATTCTACTAGAGCAAAACAGCTTCCATCCTTCTCGCGCAAAGCTAGATGCTACTAAGAGTAACAGAGATGGATAGTAACTTATCTTCTGACACGGTATCTTTTCTTCACGCTGCTGAAAGTGCCAGATAAATGGACGTTGAACTCTTGCTCCAAACAGAGTGGAAAGTGGTCTTTTTCCACTGAAATTTCAGTGGAATCACGCGCCTGTTGAGTGTAATTTTTATCTTTTGCTCCAAGCATAGCACAAGAAGAGTAGCTGGTCCTGTGTGAGGGAGGGAGGTGGGAATCACGTTCCTGAAGAAGAGCATCTCTTGCTGGATTACGCTGCTAATATCGTCTTCTCTTTTCCTCCCACGACTGACAGTATCTTCCCTCCTCTTCGCTTATCTTACCTGACGAAGGGCATCTCCTGCTCCTGCTCCAGACAGAAGCAGACGAGCGGCAGCGCGAACACCAGCGTCTTCCCGGAGCCGGTGAAGGCGATGCCGATCATGTCGCGCCCGCTGAGCACGGCCGGGGTGCCACGCGAAAACGGACCTTAGGGGAACTACATACGGTCCAGAGTAGTGAAGAGCGACTGAAGATCCTTAGGCCAGACGAAAAGAGACCTTGGGGGAACCACGCACGGTCCATAGCGCTCGTAGTGAATAGCGACTGAAGATCCTTAGGCCAGACGAAAAGAGACCTTGGGGGAACCACGCACGGTCCATAGCGCTCGTAGTGAATAGCGACTGAAGATCCTTAGGCCAGACGAAAAGAGACCTTGGGGGAACCACGCACGGTCCATAGCGCTCGTAGTGAATAGCGACTGAAGATCCTTAGGCCAGACGAAAAGAGACCTTGGGGGAACCACGCACGGTCCAGAGCACTCGTAGTGAAGAGCGACTGAAGATCCTGAGGCTAGACGAAAAGGGAACTTGGGACAACCGCACACGGTCCGAGTCACTGAAGATACTTGAGGAGGCTTGATGTTCAGATGTTTTTTGCTTAGTCACTAACGAAGGCCATAGTCGCACCGACAGGAAGAGCGAAGGTAAAGTACTGTCAGAACAAGACAGCATCCATCCTTCTCACGCAAAATGATTTGCTGACATGAGTGACAGTGACAGATACATCTGAAACTACTTAACCTGGTTCTCCAAGTCCTTGTATTCTTTTTCGACGTCAGTTAGAAAGAAGAGCAGTCGCTTTACACGTCTAAATTTTACACGCCATCCTAAAACTAACGCTGCTGCTTCTAAATGATGAACCTAGTGATGCTGATATGGTCGCATGCCTCAATTGTTTATGACATCCGAGGGAAGAGTGGATTCTCTTCCGTACCGTGGTGTAGTGTTCCAAGAGTAGCTTGTGAGAGTGGGGTGATCCTGTGGGAAGGCAGTAGGTACCTGACGAAGGGCATCTCCTGCTCCTGCTCCAGACAGAAGCAGACGAGCGGCAGCGCGAACACCAGCGTCTTCCCGGAGCCGGTGAAGGCGATGCCGATCATGTCGCGCCCGCTGAGCACGGCCGGGGTGCCACGCGAAAACGTACCTTGGGGGAACTACATACGGTCCAGAGCACTAGTAGTGAAGAGTGACTGAAGATCCTTAGGCCAGACGAAAAGAGACCTTGGGACAACTACACAGGGTCCGAGTCATTGAAGATACTTGAGGAGGCTTGATGTTCACATGTTTCTTCCTTAGTGATTTACGAAACGCTTAATTACTTAGGAGATACATGGGAAGAGTGAAGGTGGTCCTATTCTATGGACGAGCGAGACCACACTGAACGGCATCTAATCTTCTGTTAAAAGCAAGTATAAGCGAAAACGCGGGAATTCGGTGTCTCATTTATGGAGTTAGCTGGACGCATCCAGGGTAAAATCCAAAAGTGGGACATCTGCTCTCCTTAGAAAAAGTTACTAAAGTGACAATCTTGGTTCCGAAATCGCTTTTGTCCGGTGTTTGTTTAGTTACTTCGCTCCAGCGAAGGTGTTCCTTTGTTTCCACTATTAGTGACTTATGAGCTGCATTCCAAGGCTGCATTTTGTTCTGCTTCCCTAACAAAACACTGTTTAGGAATGACGAATTTTTGACCACGGGAAGATTGAGGGTGGTCTTATTCTGCTCTGCTGGAACCACACTGCTGCGAAGAGTGTGGTGACTCTGAGGGAAGGCAGTAGGTACCTGACGAAGGGCATCTCCTGCTCCTGCTCCAGACAGTAGCAGACGAGCGGCAGCGCGAACACCAGCGTCTTCCCGGAGCCGGTGAAGGCGATGCCGATCATGTCGCGCCCGCTGAGCACGGCCGGGGTGCCACGCGGAAACGGACCTTAGGGGAACTACATACGGTCCAGAGTAGTGAAGAGCGACTGAAGATCCTGGGGCCACGCGAAAAGGGACCTTGGAACAACCACAGACGGTCCGAGTCATTGAAGATAGTTGAGGAGGCTTGATGTTCACATGTTCCTTTCTTAGTCACTAATGAAGGCCCCAGTTGCATCTTACGGCACCCACAGGAAGAGTGAAGGTGGTCCTATTCGAATGGTAGTAGAGTAGTAGAGTACTGCCAGAACGAGACAGCATCCATCCTTCTCACGCAAAATGATTTGCTGACATGAGTGACAGTGACAGATACATCCGAAACTACTTATCCTGGTTCTCCAGGTCCTTGTATTCTTTTCCGACGTCAGTTAGAAAGAAGAGCAGTCGCTACACGTCTTTTCACACGCCATCCTAAAACTAACGCTGCTGCTTCTAAATGATGAACCTAGTGATGCTGATATGGTCGCAGGTTCGCCTCAATTGTTTATGACATCCGAGGGAAGAGTGGATTCTCTTCCGTACCGTAGTGTAGTGTTCCAAGAGTAGCTTGTGAGAGTGGGGTGATCCTGTGGGAAGGCAATGGTACCTGACGAAGGGCATCTCCTGCTCCTGCTCCAGACAGAAGCAGACGAGCGGCAGCGCGAACACCAGCGTCTTCCCGGAGCCGGTGAAGGCGACGCCGATCATGTCGCGCCCGCTGAGCACGGCCGGGGTGCCACGCGGAAACGGACCTTGGGAGAACCACACACGGTCTGCACTCGTAGTGACGAGCGACTGAAGATTCTTAGGCCAGACGAAAAGAGACCTTGGGACAATCGCACACGGTCTGTACTCATGGTGTGGAACGACTAAAGATACTTGAAGGCCTGATGTTTATGTTTCCTTCTTAGTCACTAACGATATCTACGGGAAGATTGAAGGTGGACCTGTACTACTCAACTGGAATCACACTACTAAAGCAAAAAAGAGGGGTTTCGGCGTCCCATTCAAGGTTTGACGAATCCTGGAACAGCTAAAATGAGATATTATGACAAAATAGAGACATCCCGTCAAAAAAGGTGCATCTGCTCCCAAGTAACTAAGTTACTAAAGTGACAGTTCTAGTTCCGAAATAGCTCGGTTCTCGGTTTTTAGGCTTCGGCATAAGCGTCTAGCTAGATTCCTTGGCTACACTACTAGTATTTGACGAAGAGTATATCCTGTAGTTATTATGACCTAGACACCGGCTGAGAAAGGATTTTCCAAAATTGACCACCTGAGGGGAAGAAACGAGGCTCCAAAGACGACTCGAGCGAAGGCTGTGTAATAGTCCTATCTCTGTTTCTCTCCCAGTGTACAGTATCTCCTCTCCTTTCCCCCAGCTTTTCTTACCTGACGAAGGGCATCTCCTGCTCCTGCTCCAGACAGAAGCAGACGAGCGGCAGCGCGAACACCAGCGTCTTCCCGGAGCCGGTGAAGGCGATGCCGATCATGTCGCGCCCGCTGAGCACGGCCGGGATGCCTTGCGCTTGGATCGGGGTCGGCTTGGTTATACCTTTGTCTGCTAAACCTCGGAGAATGCCTGGGGAGAAAAAAGAGAATAATATTAATTGGCGTATGTAGGGTTATTTTTCAAGGGGATTCTGGGATTCTGGATATTGACATGCCATGTCACGGAGGGACCACATATAGGTACGCGCATGATAATAAGTATTTTAGGGTATTTCATAAAACAGCGAGCGTTTTTAAACGGTTGACGCCGTTTTTAAAATGCGGAATCATACAAATTGCCTGCGACACATAACTAAATAACGAGTATTAGACGGGATACGCGATTGGGCAGTCTATGTATACTAGACTTGTGGCAAGATGTTGGCAGCTAGTGGCAACATATCGGCGACCTAAGGCAACATGTCTGAGATGTCTGTGACTTGTGGCAAAATATTGGCGTCTTGTGGCAGCATGTCGGCGGCTAAAGCCCGGTTCGTGAGCACGTAGAATTTTGTCCAATGACCCCTAGCTACCCATCTTTATCGCTCGAGCGTAATTATGTTGCTGTCGCGACTGTGCGACGGGCGCCCGCAGTGAGTGTGCGAGCGCGATAGCAACATAATTACGCGCGAGCGATAAGGATGGGTAGCTTGGGGTCATTGGACAAAATTCTACGTGCTCGCGGACCAGACTATAGTAGCTATGTTTATACACTCACCCTTAGGGAATTTCATGTGCTGAAAGGTCTTGATGGGCGGCGGTACATCCTCTCCTTCTACCAGGATACGTAGTTCCCTTCGAACGCGTTCGTGCCTCTCTTCTGGAAGTGCGAGGATGCATCGGGGAGGTTTCCATGACGTTTTGATTGGCTCTTCGTACTGGATGCCTTTGTAGAAAGAAGGGAGGAAACATTATTAAAGTAGCGACATAAACGACAATACCCAAATGGTGGCGATCTGCGCTTGGCTGATTTGAGATACGAGGAATGCTAGTTCTATGCCCGTTTTCACCATCAAACCCTAATTTTTAAGTGACCCCTATGGTAACAAATAACGGGAATTTTGTTTACATAGCCGTCACTTAAAAATTAGGGATTGATGGTGAAAACGGGCACTAGATTCTCTGCCACATGCATATTTACCTTACCACAAAGGGTTAAACTGAAAGTTCATCATTTCAGTTAAGATTTTAAGTTGAACCCCAAGATACTAAGCATCAAAATCTGTTCAGAGCTGGTTTTTTTCAGTGTGTGAAACATTAATTCTAAAGCACAACTTTTTAGAGTAGGCGCACACCGTTGATTTTTCGTCAGCCGATAGTTTAGTCGGGCAGTTGATCAGTATGGGCATGTATGGGAGTGCGCACACTACGCCGATTCGATTTGGCCGATTCTTCATACAATTTGAAATCGGGCACAAATATCGGCCAACTAAAAATCAACGGTGTGCGCCTACTCTTAAAAGCCAATTAAAATAAAATAAATCAATGAGTTCTATTAGTACTTATTATTATTTTGTGGTTCTATGACTATTTTTTTTACAATATGAGTTTGACGCAGCGTGGGACGTCCACCCACAAGGTGAACCGAGCAATGGACGTCCTATGGCTGACATTTTGATGATGATTTATACACACCTTTGGCCAACTCAGCGACGCCCATCAAAGCCTTGCTCTGAGCGACGCTCTCCAGTATATGCTCCTCCTCCCTCGCTTGCCGCTCGGCCGCTGACAACGCCCGGGCTTCCGCTATCCGTTTGAGTTCGCTGTGCTGGTCCAGCAAGGAGACGTTGTAGCGGCGACCCCATTCTTCTTGAGAAGCTAGTAAACACAAAAGTAGAAGTCTTACAGCGTTGTTTATTTTAATTTTAACTTTATTGGAAAAAACAACATGTGGTTCACAAGAAGTAATGCTAAAGTGTGTTTCCACAGATTGCAAGTAACTTAATAGTACATAAAACACTATCTTATATATATCTAGCTTCATAGCGATAAGACCGCCTAATAATTGTACCTTGTGTGTTCCTTTTCTTCTGTTATGTTATTTGTTTGGTGTGCAATAGTGTATTTATTATTATCTCTTTATTCATTTTCCTTCTTATTTTTAATTTTTTTTTACAATGTAGAATATAAAAAAATATTATTATTATCTTTTCACTTTCATCACAGCAATATGTTAGATTTTTATTATTAAGTCCATGCAATAAAAATACATGCTTTTAAACTGGATTTTTCAGATGGTAATAGGCAAAGCTTATACACATAATTTTAAAGTATTAGCTGTGGACTACTCTAAGGTCAGACTTTGTAAGTGCCCTCCGAAATACAGAATCCATATTTCTTTCCTGACAGTAGATTTAAGAAATCAAGCCCACAATGTGCTGGCCAAGGTGGGAACAATACAGTGATAATTATTTGTGTGTGTCTCACATGGGGGTCGAACTTATGACCTCCAGAACAAAAGTCTATCAGTCTACGATAAGAAAATTTTGTTTTTGGACAATGTGTTTTTATTTAACACGTTGGACGCCTCACCGGTGAGCCTCAAACAATACAATTTCCATTGTGTCTAGCGTCTCGGCGTTCAATGACTTAAGAATAGAATAGAATACGTTTTATTGACACATGATTTAAGCTTACATACAGTACAGGCTTACAGCTTGTGTGTAGTATTGTCAAGTTCTACTTACTTTCATCGTCAGGATCGTTGTCGCTTGAGCTCTTGTGGTCTGTAGAAGCCTCAGCAGCCAACTGTCCCAGCCTTCCAAGCTTCAGGAGTTTCTGTTTTTTGCGTTCTTTCACCGGTACATACGGTTCGTAATTATCGATGTCTTCCTCAGATTCTGAGGACTTCTCGTCACGTCTGTACCGTTTTACTGGCGGAGGGGGGTCCTCTTTATTCTCAGACATTTTATTTTTAACTCAACTATTTGATTTATGCTCAGAAATCAATGAAATTAGAGCACAACAAACGCACGCTTCAGGATGTTATTGACATATATTTTTATGCCGATTTGTTAGTCAAAATTAGACCTAAATACCTTGCGATAAGAAACAAATTTAGAAATTTGACCGCAAAACTTGAATTGCAAAGTGATTGTGTACGCGTTTTGACGTTTGAGATGTCATTTACGTTCCTGTCTTTGGATACTGATATTTTCCTGAAGTGTAAAGTAAAGGTTTTGTAATAAATACACTGCTTTAATATTTGTGATTTTATTTATGTTAAACAATTATCTTTTTTCTATGATTTTGGTAGGTATCAAGTTATTAAAGGCTGCAAAATAGTTGTATAGAAATTAAATGAGTGTGCACATTCTGCGTATAACAATACTACTGAGTTAATGTTTTCGAAGACAGTTCTTTATCACTTGGTATAAAGCGTAAACTTCTTTTTTAATGCATGTTTTCTTTTAATAGAATTTGTAATTTATTTTCAAGTTATATTTTTATCAAATAAAAATAACGGTTTAACAATTTTATCGCTGAAATAAATATTTCAAGTTAGGAAATTCAGGGATTCTTATTTTAAATTTCTTATTGAACTACCTTCAAACACTGCCTTGGACACATCGAATTGTCACAAGAAAAATTTGTCAAAATATGCAAGTGACACGTAACTTTATATAATTAAATTTAATTTTTGTGACCTCCAAATGTGTAAATTCGCGAAAAACTTTATTTCCGCCGGTTAATTGTTTTATGACAAAATGTCTGACAAAAGTTTCGGTGATCACACGAACAGGAATGTTGTGAAAAATCCACTTCTTCTGACCGCAGTGACTGGTCTCTCTCTAGAAGATTTGACACATAATGCTGTTTTGCTGCCCGTAGCTCAGAGTCAGGAGCTGATCACTAGACAAGGTGAGTGTTAGTCTTTATTTTTATAACATATCTACGCGCAAAACGATTCTGGGTTGGCCTTGAGACCTTAAACATGCCAAAAGTACGCGTGATCTGTTGCGTTAGTTTACCGTCAACATTTGCGTATATTGCAGGAAATTCGCGAGACTTTGTGTAGTTTTCTATATGAAAACATTAATTACAGACTGTCATCAACATATTAAGTGGACAAAAGTGTCAGAACTCGTGTGTTTAGTGCTAAAATATTAGTGTCAAAATATGTCGTCCTTCTTATATAAATCTTACCGTAATGCCCCTTTTGAGAGCGGTTTCTTCCCCGAATTCTGTATCAAGACCGGTAACAAGCATAGGAAAGTCGACAAGTTCATAGATTTTGTTACTTTTGTAAGTTCCTTACATTATTGATAATTTTAACTCAACTAATCACTGAAACTTTCAGTCCTCTGTATGCCAATATTTTTCAGGGATGGACCCCTAAAATACTACTAAATAATCATAATTTTATCAGCCTAGTATAGTTAGTTTTGCCGGGCAATTGAAGAGTCACACTTAGATTCTCATTGTGCACATCAGCCCAGAATAATTCGATTTGTCAAACATACTATTGATTGATTAGCAATGGTGCCAACAATTATTAATTTTTGTTACTTTCAGTTCATTGGTACTTTTAAGGGTCAATTTCAGGAGCATTTCGGATTCTTGTTATGTAAAAATTCATTAAACATTTCTCAAACAATTGAAAAAGATAAGCACCTATAAAGGCCTATAAGTACTGAATAAAAACTTTTGAAATTTTTATTTTGTGTAACATTCTTGCAATTGCCCCTCCATTTTCTCGTTGGCATATCTATTTGGGAAGTAGAATCCGTCTATTTGTTTTACGAACCTGTAAATACTACGATCTGCTTCACACTACGATGGCTCCTACGTATACTGGCGTAAGTGAAAAAAGTAAATTTTACAGGAGAGCCATTTTAGTGGCCAGAACCATATTTTTGGGTCATATCTTCTGACCTACTAAAACGAATTTAATGAAATTTCACATTTAGCCTTAACATGTAATGCTTTTGCTACTGCTGTTATCAATTTTTATATTTTTCTTATATACTTTGAGATTTTACGCATTGCCCTTTTACGTCGTCACATTCATGTATATTGTTCAACGTAAAGAGACTTAAATGACAACGTAAATATAATATTTTAAGCGATTACTCTCTTTATTTATGCATGTAATTATTTTAATTATTATCATGTGCTATATTAATAATAAATCAGTTAGAAAAAGTTGTTTAATGTATCGTTATTACGTTTTAACGCAAATACGCCCATATACTGTGCTCGAGATTTAGTTAGGTCTTTTAACATAATGTGTCATATTTTTAAAAATTATAAATAACTTGAAAAAATCGAACTGCCTAAGGCGGGAATTGAACCCACGATGCCTTAGGCAGTTCGTTTTTTCAAGTTATTTATAATTTTCAAATTAGTTTGAGATGCGACTCTTAACGCTAAAAATTAAATAACTATATAATGTGTCATAATTTATAAATAAAACAATTTGCTAAATATTTTCATGGCATTATTTAAGATTTGGATTATAAAAAATATATATTTATGTAAGCAACTACTCGTATAGATTGACGAATCGTATGATTGGGCTTTATACGTGGCGTAGTTTTGCACATACGCCTATTTGCCTAAAATTTTATTTTGTATCTAATGGAAAAAAAATTTTTTTTCTTACTGACGTTATACAGGGTGTTAGGTAAATAGGTATATGAGCCGACACTAGCCCATGTTAACATGGGCATATAAATGGTATGGCGAAGTCAGAAATTTGATATCATCATTTTATTTTTTTAAAGTTTCATACAAAAAACATTTTATAAAATCCGATTTGTATGAAAATTTAAATTATTAAAATGAAGATATCAATTTTCTGACTTCACCATAACATTTATATGCCCATGTTAACATGGGCTAGTGTCGGGTCATATACCCATTTACCTAACACCCTGTAGATTAGAGCAAAATGAAATCATTGCTTAAATAATTGGAAAAAGGCGTAAGCGGCAGTTTCGCCTTTATACGTAGGAGCCATCGACTAGGTATACTTTGAAACCTCTGAAGCACTTTGCTTCAGAAATAAAAATACAAAGTCGAAAATACAATAAATATAATGAAATATTTTTGCATATTATATCCTTAAAAAACATGGCGTTTCATATACTTATACCAACATTAAATAATCTTAATTTATCTACCCGTATTAGTAAAATAAAACTTATCAGAAAATTATTTTTTTACGTACAAACTGTATTACCTGTTATGACACTGTAAAACGATAAATACAAGTATGGTCTGTATACTTGTTATTGTACTGGGTGGCGCAAAAGTACTGGCACTAAAGAAAATACTTTTTTTTTTTTATATGACATTTTCTGTCATTTTTTTGTTGAAAATTGTGTATAGTGAACAAATGTAAAATACACTGAAAATAAACATGGACCGTTTTACTCCCCAAGAACGTGGAATAATTGTGTCAATGTTCTTACGGACGCTTTTCCAGGCCGAGTTATCTCTCGTTTTGGCGATTTGCCTTGGCCTGCAAGATCACCCGATCTGACCAGTCCAGACTTCTTTCTTTGGGGTTTTTTGAAATCTCGGGTGTATGTGAACAAGCCACAGACTCTCGCAGCTCTAAAAGAAAACATTCGTCAAGAAATAACGAACATATCGCAGGAAGTGTTACGGCAAGTTATGCAAAATGTCATAAATAGGGCTCAAATGTGTATCAACTCTGGAGGTCACCATTTAAAAGACATCATCTTTAAATCCTAATGGTACGAAATTTAATGGCACAAATATACATTTAAAAAAACCTAAATCTAGTTTTCTAATTTAGAAAAAATGTTATAGCTGAACCAAATAGGGTCTTTACTTTTGCGCCACCCAGTACAAGTATGAATTTTCATTTTAATTTTTCATGACAAGTATGATTTTCAGGAATACATTTTAAATTACAGTATAAAGTATGCATATGAATATAAATTAGGCCTGTGTTGATACTAAAATTCTGTTAATCACAGGCTTGATTTTATACAGATTGAATAAGTTTTGAGCATAGCTTCAGAATAAAAATATAATGGGAGCTTCATATTTTGTTATTATATTGGCTCCCAATATTTGTATCGAAACGGTTTGTATTTGTCCAGAAATTACCTTTCAATTGGAGAAAATTCCATCTGTTACTGCCCTGTTATTTCACCTTTTCAAACTGTTAAAAATTCTGATTCACTTGTTATGTCAAAATATTAATTATTTTTTTAACTCATTGAATGCCAACTATGCAATAATTTACAGGAGTCATCTAAAAAATTTATCATTCAAGATGTTAAAGTTAAATATAGGCAAGTTTTCTAAAGTTCTCAATGACTTTCCTTATTTGTCTTATTATGAATTCAACGCACCATCGTTGGAGTTCCGCGTGACGTCACAAAGTGCTACACTTTAAGCACGCCTTGACGCCACGAGCCTCTTCTTTCTTCTCTTTTTTCTTCGGAACTTTGACGCGCTTTATATCTTTCAATTTTCAGTAGTTTGAAACAGTGAAAAATACGTGTCGAGAATTTTTTGATAAGTTAACTGACAGACTAATTCAAACTTTTGCTTTTTTACCCAGGAAACATCCCTATTGTTGAAAGACAGTTGCACCTGTCACGTTCCGCAACTACAAAACGTCTGCTTTGCGATTGTAATAGCTGCGCAATCATGCAATTTTTGTAGTGTGTAGAATTTTCTTATCTTTTTAATGGTTGATGGTTGATATTTATAGATAGTTTCATCCACGAAGACGCGCTCCACCACTCTTCCGCTAATGTTTGAGTGTTATCGGTACACGCTAAATCATACATGAGTGCACACGCACACTACAATAATGACGCTCGGATTGCTCGGATTAAACTCCCCCCACCCTACGCTTCCCTCGACCAAAAGTGGTGAGCGAGTCTTCGTGGATGAAATGAACTATAATGATACCCTTTTTTTCACATCGGTTTTAGTCTAATCTTACTTAAAACATACATTATTACTCTACGCTTAACTTAAGGTAACAAATGTAGTGTCTTAATTAGTACGAAATTGCATTATTTTCCATACATACAAGTGAATTTAGTATTATCATCAAAAATTAAGACTAGTACCTATTATTTATTATTATTTACCTGTAAAATCACTTTCAGTTTTATGGTTACCACAGTATGTATTTTAAATAATTATTTTAAATTAAAATATAATCTTAAAATTACCTGGAATGTATTGAAAATAGTGGTTCAATAATTTTGGACCTTATTTCGTTGACAGAGACTTCAAAATGGGCAATATTAATTACATTTCTTGAGCACAGTTCGTGTTTTCTGGGTTTACTCCCTATAAGGCAATTGGCACAGTATTTTCAATCTTTGTCCCCTGTGTTAAGGTGTAAAATCAATGAAAAATTATATTGCTATGACAGTGAAAGGAAAAACAAACTAAAATCCCGAAATCATTTCTCAGGTTAAAGTAAAAATTAAGATTTGAATGCATCATGTAATTGTAGTTGACTTTAAATTATAAATACAATCCGGTCCGGTACCTGGCAGCCGTGACGTCACGTCGTCGCTCTGATACGGAGCGAGGTGCGCAGTTAGCATGACCGGTTTTTAAGTTGATTTCTTCAACTGATGTTCCTTGATGACGTGGAGTAGGGCAATTCTCGTGACTCCTTCCGTCTTCTCACACACCAGACGATCAGAAGAACGATGAGGATGATCAGGAATATGAATAGGAACACCCCGAGCACTATGGCAGCGATGCCTGCCTCTGTGATGTAACCTGGAAAGGGAAATTGAATTGTATTTGTACCTAGCTACGATCAAATTTCGGTCAGTCACAGAAAGTGTTTATGACGTGCGTATCCCCGCGTGACCTGGTGCCATTTGCCCTGTACCACAAGGCTCTCT